CACCGATTACGGAATCGATTCAGAAAATTGAAGTGACGGTATCGTAATTTTTCACAGGAGATTCAGATAAAAATTACGGAACGCTCTGGAAAAATCCCGTGACAATTCCGTAAAATTTCCTACAAGCACATTTCGCTCCGGAATTACGGAAAAGATACGTAATTTTTATTGAATATTTCTCTACGTGTAGTAGAAAAATACCATTTTGAAAAAATAAATAGTTCTCTCAAGTAAATGGATATTTGGCAAAACTAATTTCTTTTCTCAGTGTATTCCATCATATATCACAAACTGTTTAATGGGCCCAGTGAAGACTTAAATTTCACCGACGTATCCCCTTAATTCGCGTAAAAGCCGGCGGATCTTCAATTAACAAAAAAGGTTTATTAAGGGAAGATGAGGGGGGGCAAGTGGATGAAGGAAAATATAAATTGTCGTGATATATATTGGAGACAATGGAAGATCTCACGCTCCACCGTAGTGCACTCTTCGCACGCACCTCTCTTACGGATGTTGAGGGGAGTAAAACGCGGGGGAAAATAATTAATATTGAATGAAGTGAAATGGTGGACTAGAGACGAATAAATAAAGCAAGATACGCATCGCGTCCTTTCTAGTTACCAAATCGCACACAATTCGTTGGCTTATTTCACGATTTTATTTATTCTCTTTCCTGAAATTTTCTCAACATTCATAATGGCGTATGAAACTACCCATGGCCTATGAATTATTTAATCAAGTTAACGGTCGACAGAGCTCACTCAGTGGTTGGTAATAAAGAAAAATTAATGGAATGACAAATTGTTGTCTCGCTCGGAGCGATGATTCGATATATCGATATGGCAACGATTTATCATTCTTTCACCACACACAGCGTGAATGTTACATATGTGCAATTTCATGGGTGCAAAAAAGAGAGGTATTTTATTCCGCGAAAGTTTGATGGAGAGACATAAGAGTTCTATGGAGCGAACGTTTAATTCACAAAGTGGATTTTTAAGAACAATGACTATTCCAACTGTCGAGGAGATTTCGTTTAATTGCCATTAATTTTTTTCAAATCCGTCCGCATCCGGCGGATGATATATCTCCAGCTGCTACGTATGCTATTTCACAGGCACTTTAAATATGGAAAAATCGTTTTCATGAGTTGGGGAAATATAATGCGATGAAAGTTCCACTTTGACACGGCAATTGTTTTTTTTTTTCACCGCATTGAGGCAGATGTAAGGAGTATAAGGGGAAAAATCGTGGGGTCAATTTGCAAAATAAGCTGAGAAATTTCCACTGCATGAATAGTCATGAGATTCAAACGTTGTACTATGTAGATTAGAAGAAAAATTGATTGGGAGAAAAAGGCATGTACAGCTATGGGAAGCCGTAAAAAACGGTTCAAAGGTGCATCATTTGACGTCGATTGGCTGCAGGATGATGCGAGCCAGTGGACTCCAGACTCTGTTGCGTGTTTATTCACCTCGCTTTCGACGTTATGGAGAAGAGAAGCCCTGAGCGGCAAAAGGGTTCACGGTCACGCGCGGAATGAGGCGCGCAGGAGCCCCCCGGAGGGACTGATCGGGAGTATCGGCAATGACCGCCCCGCCAGGACGAGAGAGGCATCAAGATACACACAAGTCGGCAATCCACCAAGATCCAAGATAAGATACATCGGCTCACAGATTAGCGATGATTATATTAATCAAGCCGGCCGTTTCAAGCGGCAACATTTCAAATGCATTGACAAAAAACAGTACAAATAAGTCAACTAATATGTAAATTCATCTGGGGATAGTAAACTCACCGGTAAACTTGCCAGTCCAAGCCGCACCTTTGCATATTTCTTTGTCAACACTCGCCAGAGTACATAAGCCATTGCAGACTAATTTTAAAAATTCACATTTCACTCGTGAACAGTTGCCCCGTTAAAATTCTCAAAAACCCGGACAAAAAAGATCTTCAACTCGTAACATTAATGTCCAACCGTTTACTACCCATAATGTTACCTCATCATTGTGGAGAAAAATAAAAGTCTGGTTATCCCGCTCGACGTCTTCTTTTTCTACTTCAAGAGAGAACAAGAAGAAGTGATTGAAATACCACCCAAAAGTTTCCCCAATTATGCATCCAAAAGAGTTTAAATAAAAAAAAAGCCGTCAGGTACAAGTAATCACGAATCTCTGGCTTTTTTCCCCCTGGTTATTATTTTTCGCAAGCCCTCGTGACTGCCGCAATTATGTCATTTCTCGGAGGATACGTGTGGGTAAATCCTGGAGTTAAAACGAGTGCAGCCGAGTTACGATGGAGAATTAACGTATTTTACGAAATACCGAGGGGATTCGCGCGCCCCAGCCACTACTATCTCCCTTTCATTCTTTTCCTCTTCCTCATCTGACTACCCAAGTATCCGCAAGTGTTCATTCACTCCATCGGGGTGCGATAACTCGTAGTGCAACAGTGCAATAGTCACGAGCAGCTTTAAAAATCAATCGAGGTATGTCCACTGGTACTCTTGATATCGATAACGACTCGAGTGATTTTATTCGCCGAAGAGTTGACCGTGAGGATCGCGCGGCTGACGTCTGTCGCTGCCAGGACATAACTGACGTTAGTGGGTAGGCAGTTTTGTAGTGGAGGAGTCTCATACTGTATATAAAAGGTATATCCAACGCGTTACGCGCCTTCGCCTTCGGATTCTCGGCGCGCTCTCCACCGCTGGGGCTCTCTTTTCCACACTCTCGTATTATCATGCATGCATTTCAATACCCCCTAAACAATGAAACAGAGAGAAACATTGTTGAGGAGAGGTGAATAAAAAAAATATACACACTGGGCGCGCGTATACTTTTTCCTCTAGACCAACAATTCAAACGTATCCTCATCAGTCGTCCACTTTATTCATTAAAACACGAAGAAAGCGTGCATGGGGGGGGGGAGTAAGGAAGAAGTTGAAATTGTTAGTAGAAAATATGTGCATTCGCAACATTACGGTCGAGTTTGCAATTATACTGGCTTTATTACCTCACTAATTTCTTGCAGCGTCAAAACAATATAAATTGGTCGAGGGTGCGGCTCTCTACCCCTCTTAAAAAAATAAATAAATAAAGATGAAGAGAGAGAGGAAAATTGGTAAAGTAGACGTAGAGTTAATTGGAGTTGTAGATCGGATGTCGCAATTTGACTTTCGAGCATTCCTCGGGTATCTCCCAGTGAGGGACCCACGATTAATGTTTATATACGAGAGACGGTGACAGTGAGAAAAGAGGACAAAAGAAATGTACATTTGAGTGGTGTATATAAAACGCGGAAATCGTAGGGCGTCGCGCGTCGTGAATCATTGTTCTTGGGCAATGTGTCTGGAGAGGTGAGGTCCTCTCCCCCCTCCCCCTGCGCCGAGAGACCCAACAATCTCAACAGATTTTTTTTTTTCCTCCTTTTTCATTGTTAACTATATACATGTATACAATGTTTGCGGTATACGTTTATGTCAGGCCAATAACGGTTAGGCTTTGGTGCTACACTGGGTGACTGTATCCTATCGTTGGCATTATCACGATATCCCCCGGGGGCCCCCTCTATTGCTAAGGCAACAACAGTGACTCTATCCTCTTTCGTTGGCTTGTCTATCCTCAACTCTGGTGAGACTGTATTCCCTGTAGCTTTTGGTCACACCGTGAGGGAGGGTTATCCGGGTTAATCGACGTATGCCGAGACATCGTTCAACAATCTCTACTTCGCATGACAATCGCGGGTACAAATCGCTCGGCTCGCTTTTGATTACAAATTTTCTTGTGTGAATGAAAAGTTTATTTTTTTACCCCCCTTCGGATCACAAGTTTTCGCAATCAACGGAAAAGTGGAGCAAATCCTTGAGGAAATTGCATAGTCTGTGGGAGAGTGGGAGATGAATTTTTCAATTGAAATTCTGGCTGCGAGAGTTCTTTTTTACAGTGGGAAAAAGGTCTGGCAATCAATTAGGAGAGGAAATCGATCCTATGCATGAGGCAAAATTTAATCTATCGTAGCTGTCTTCGATTGATATCCACAGGGCTTTGGGGGTTGACGACCACACAACGGAACCTCCACCTGGGTGCGGCCTCAACTCGCCTTCCGTCTCCCCCTTGACCATCACCCGGCGCTAATAAAGTTGAGGGCAAAGAGCCCTGATGGAAGAGCTGTTTGCCATGCCTTTCATCTTCATTAATTTTTTATTCTCTGTTAAGCCCCCCACTGAAATTAACCCATTGTAAAACACACGGCAACGAGATTCTGTTTTTTTTTGACTTATCATTATTATTATTGACAGCATGTAATAGTGCCGATCAAGTTTCTAAATTACAATTGTACAATAGATTTTTTTTAGTGTAAAAAAATTGTACATAGGTGATTCCATTTTACGTCGTTTAAAATTTGAATTTTAAAGAGCTTTTTAATGGTGTCGTTTCTGTATACGCTCTTGGGACATAATTTATACACTGAGAAAACAATGTTCAATTATTTTGGTTCTTCACATCTATTGATCAAATAAAAAGCAATAACTAAATGAAAATTATTTGCGAAGTTATGAGGTTTAAACTCAATCATTTCATTATTTAAATATCTATATATACCATATATATCTATATTTCGTCGCCGTAGAGTCGGAAGGAGTGTGCGGTTTCCCACCAATTGTCCCTTCAACTCTACGCTGATGAGTCATTCATAAATTGTGGATTCTTCCAACTATACGATTACGCCAGACAGCATAGCAGTTTTTGATACATTTAGTTGATGTATATTAAATTTATTCTTTCAACGAGAATAGTCAATTATGCTGAAAAAATAACATGAAACGCTAATCCCAATAGAAATTAAGCTAAAACTGAATCAACTAGAGACACGTTGAGATGAATGGAAACTGGGAGAAAGGAAAATTATAAAAAAATTATTCTCTCTTGAACTCGTTGAGTTTCAAGCAAAGAATCGATCAATTTTGGTACAACAAAAAATACCAATAAAAGCTAAAACTTTTGGTCATGTCTGTGGAATCGTGTATTTTTCAATTAAATCATTTACCATTCATTCTAACATTGTGGATGGAATAATCCACTCAGTACAGAGTACATTCTCTGGACAATTAAGCTAAACCCTTAGTGTAATTTTTTAAGCTTATCAAATACAGAATAAATTCAAGAAAAAAAAATATGTACAAGACAGAAACCTGCCAATTCACTCATTCTTGTTTCTTCATTCGCACGTTAAACACTATAAGTTCTTTAATTGATCTCCATCGGTAGATGGATTACCAAACGAATGAAAAACTCGTGTGAGTTGGATAAAAGAGCGAAAAATAGAAACGTTGATTCTGAAGTTGACGTGATTGTTTCATCAGTTTTTCCAAATGAATCCCATCTCATTTATATCACTCAGATACTACGAGCCTTAATGGGTATGACTAAACACAGTAAGATGCATAAATTATTACATATTTCTAATTTACACTGTTTAATCCCACAGTCCTGCCAATCAATGTACGTGTGGCATCATTAGCTTCCCGCTCTGTCGATTAAAAGACAAATGTTCTGACTATTAAGTAGGTACGTTACGCCCAGTTTAGTCGAGTGCTGATCATTACGAGAGTGACTCCAGGAGACGAATCTCGGTGCCCGTGTCCTCCTCCTCCTCTTCCTCTTCCTGAAATGATGAATTGTGACAATGGCATGAGTAACGTTTTTAAATTTGTTTACAACACGAATGGATGCATGAAAAAGGGAATATTTACCTCGTCAAAGCCGAAGCAGTTCTCCATATCTTTACTTATTTTTGAATCACTGTTCACTTTCTGGTGCACTACTTTACGAGACGCGATTGCCTGTTTGATCTCCTCCAAGTTCATCTCTTCTTCTTCCTCCTCCTCCTCTTCTTCGCCGTTCTCTATTGATTCTACAATTCCAGCTTCGGAACTCAGTGGATCCTGCATCATCAAGTCACCATCCTCACTCGCCACAACAGCCATCTGCAACGAATTTTATTTGGTGAATTAAACAATGGCTCCAAAGGATCAAAAAAACAAAGTGGGGATAGTTATTCATTTTCCAAAAATTGCAATGTTTCATGTTTCAGAAAAATTATGCAGTTTTTTTAGATGATGGGAGAACATATGAAACTAATTTCAGTGATTAAGGAAAATTAATGCAGCACTTTCGACAGAATAAAATGCGCCAATTTATGCAATTATACACAGGCTGTCATGGGATGTATAATGATGCCTCCATTTGGAAATTCTCCTGTCAGGAGGCTCCAAAAATAAAAATGAAAATAGAGGAATATATGGAAAACGATGCTGAATCCAATGGCTAAAGAACAGTTTTGGCTATCCAGGGAAAAATCAAGATATGGGACTTATTAAAATCGTATGTTCTATTACTCATTCACTTTTAACAGATCGGTTTTATTCTTGAATAATTAATGTGGGTTAGTCGTTTCAAATTGTTTTCAATATGAAGGAGTTAACTCTGTCTATCAATCGCGAAAAAAAAATTCCATATGTGAGGAGCAGTCTGCAATTTTATAGACTAATGGAGGAACATATAAAACCAACTTTTCTGATGGTCGGAGAAATTTAGTTGTAGTAGCTTAGACAAAATTAAATAATCTTTCTTATATACGGGTTTTCATGGAATTGATTTTCGAATGGATGACTTGGCTACTCAAAGACTTCAAGAATAAAAATAAAACATAGATAGAATGTGATAAAATTTGCTAAATCCAATGCCAAGGAAAAATAATGAGGGAAATAATATAGATATTTAGAACTTTAAGCCCTCATGCTAAAGTATTGCAATTACCTGATCAGTGTTTTGATTATCAGCCAACTGAATGACCTCAAGAACAACATACTGCTGTCCATCGCTCCCCTCGACAGCCATCATGTCCTCTTCCTCCTCCTCCTCTTCTTCGTCGTCGTCGTAACCTTTAAGTTTAGAAGCTAAATCACCTGTTGTTCACAACAACCAATGCATGGAGATTAGTCAATGACCTTCATCATATCGTAAACTTCCAGAGACATTTGTTCAACCAACAAACAAAATAAAATAACATGAACAAATCACTAACCAGTCATGACCTCGACCCTCTGTCCATCGATGATCTGTATCTTCTTCTGCCTGCCAATCTTCAACGCCTGTTGTTTCTCCTGCAGCGACGACTCGGGATCGTGAACAGCCATGTGCCTAATCAAATTACCCTTATGCCTGAAGGCACGCTCGCACTCGGGACACTGATGCGTCTTCTCCTGCGGTGGTGGCGGCACGTACGATGGATTGTGATAGAGATTGCAGTGACGTTTCAATAGCTGCTTTTGCCTGAACGACTGATAACAATGATCGCACTGGTACGGTTTTTGATCGGTGTGGATTAACATGTGACTCTCCAAATGTCTAGCGGAAATAGAGGCGTAGGGACAGAGATCACATTTGTAACATTTTTCACCCTCATGTGTTTTACTGTGCAACTTGTAGCTGTACCGGTCGGGGAATGCCTTGCCACAGCGTTTGCATTTCAATGGCTTATCAGAGGTATGCAATTTTTGTACGTGAATCCTGAGATCTGTTTTTCTGCCGCAGGTCGTTGGACACAGCTCGCACTGGAATACCGGTTTGTCTCCAACTGTAAAGAGGAACGAATGGTTAATGCATTTATGGAATGACAATTTCAAGGCATACACACAGAAACAAAATTTCAAGTTTCAAATAAAAAATTTCTGAAGTACAAAACTGTTGTACTGAAATTTAGCCAGGAAAAAATTCTGGAAATTGATGAAATTTTCAATCATTTTAAGGAATTTCCCCTCAAAATGAGAGAAACAAGTTCTAATTTTTACAAATTTTTCTTCAAATTGAGTATAATTATCCTCAAACTAAGGAACCCTTTTTCTTATTTCAGGAATTCAGAACTTTTCGGATATCAAAATAAAAAACTTGGATTTTTTGAATTGAGAACATTCTCATTTTTGAATTTATGATTTTCTTATTCTAATTTTTTGAATAGATTTTTTTGACCGTTGTAATTATTTCCAAAATTCAAATGACAACAGGTTGGCGTAAGCGGTCTTGAACAATTTTATATACGTACAAATGAAGTTGAAGTTGAAGAACTACGTTTCTACGTATATAAAATTGCTGAAAACCGCTTAGGCCAACCTGTTGTCATCAGAATTTTGTTCTTATTCTAATATTAATCTACTCATATATAACCTGGAACCTCGACTCAATGTCAAATGAATGTTCAATTGTTCCAGAAGTTTATCCCTTTCGAATGTTCATAATTTCTTCACTGAATTTCCGACATTTTCCTTCTGCAATTATGCAGCCATTCTCTTCAAATGAATAATTTGATTCTAGAAACTAGAAACTTTTTTTTCCTGTGTAGTTGAAACAGAATTATCTTATACTTTTTGATAAAGTGAATACATTACCATTATGCACTAGTTTATGCGCCTTTAAACTGTTGGATTGCGTAAATCTCGCCTGACAAATGTCACACTCATACGGTTTTTCACCGGTATGAATACGCAAATGTCGTTTCAATTTAAACGTATCGGGACTGGCGTATGTACAATGGGGACATTGGTACGGACGCTCTCCAGTGTGACACCTTATGTGTCTCTTCAACTTCGACAGCTCCACGGATGCATAATCGCACTCGTGACATTTGTGCGGTTTTTCGTGGGTGTGTCGGTATCTCACGTGTCGCACCAGTTCCCCTGAAAATTTCAAGTATTATGTGTTTTGTAATGAAAATTAAAAAACCACAGGTTTATGGAACGTTTGAAGTATTTAGAACACTCAGAACTAAGAACTATCATTCACTCGCGGCGTACATTCTCTGAACAATTGGGCTGTGAACGCTCATTATAATTTTTTTTCCAAACGCATTTTATATGAGACATTCCATACCAACTCAGCCACCTCGATTTTTTTGTCGTACTAACCTTAATTGGCATGTTCAAAACTAAGTTACATAGAAATAAAGGATCTCTGTAAATTTTTATCTTCTTAGCACCAATCGTGTGTCTAACAGTCATGTTAATAGCAAAAATTTTCATAAATCTACCTTGCGAATAAGCAAGCAGATTTGAATAAATAAACAATTATTTTTTTCTGTATTTTTTCACGTACTCTTCAGATAAACATACTCTTGTATCGCAGAGGTATTTTAACACTATTTTTCCATTTTTTTCATTTTCAAATTCAATTTTCAGACAAGAGGTAATCGAGAATGAGTGTTGAAATGGCATTCATAATTTGAGAAAAAATTAAAAATTAAAAAGAAATAATTTCAGGAAAAAAATGTACAAGAGCTCGCCTATTCATTGATTATTTCTCGTTCATTCGTTCATTAATCATTAAAATTTCTCGAACTGATCATCATAGTTGATACATTATTAAGTGAATAAAAAAACTCGTGCTGAAAAAACAAAATTGATGTAATTATCTTCAAACTCAGAAAAGGGAAGTAAATCACAATTTAATGTATTTGGGGTATTTAACGATTATGTACTCAGTAAATTTTCTGAGCAACTCTAGCGTAATATTCGGACCTTATCACATTTAGAATTCTTCGAGAAATTTATATACTATTCACTTATTATTCCGCGTTATTTTCCACATCAACCGTTAGAATTTTTCTACTAGTCATCATCGACAGTAGAGGTGGGGCCATTCAAATATTACGTCAACAGCTATATTATCCCCTGGGCTATTCTACTTGGTCAGAAAATGTCTTTGGTTGTGATAATTACGTCAACAAGTTTTTTTGGGCTTTCTGGACCCTCTCCTCTACCCCTCAGACACAAGCCGCCACCAACATGAACCTCCTCCCCTTGCATATCATGTTTCCAAAGATTCGTAACCCCCTCTGTTTTTTTATTTATTAATATGCACCAACCCTTAACAGGTTATTTGCAATAAACTGGTTGCATTTTTGTTTAAATTCGAATTCTATTATTTTTGACAAACCGGTGGATTATTTCCAAGGGCTTCAAGTTCTTGTATGCCAGGAATGCATTTATGGCAAATGGTCTAGGCCCCTCTCTGTCACGGTGAATTTTTAATTATTTTCATAACATTGAATTTAAGAAACAAGAACAAGGAAAAGAAGGCAAAGGATTCATTGAACAATTAAATTTTTAAGCGATGCCCATTAAATTATTGTGCTCACAGCATTCTGACATTCCTCTTCATCAATCTTCGCGATAGTTTGAAGAACTGGTAGAGTTTCTTGTTTTTCGTGAGAAAAAAGGGACGCAAACAAAATTGCATTGGCAATTTTCTCGATTGAAAATGGAGCAAAAATATCTAGTGCCATCACAACTTAAGCAGCCCCCCTTCGTCACAAAGCGTCACAAGGCCCTACATTACAGGGGAAAGGAGGACAGAATGAATAGTTAAATCTTTAAGCGATGCCCTTTGAACATTTCGTACTTCATTAAATTATTGTGCTCACAGCATTCTGATATTCCTCCTCATGAATCTTCGCGATAGTTTGAAGAACTGGTGAAGCCTCTTTTTTTCGTGAGAAAAAAGCGACGCGAACAGAATTGCATTTACAATTTCCTCGATTGAAAATGGAGCAAAAATATGTAGTGACATCAAAACTTAAGCAGCCCCCTTTCGTCACAAAACATCACAAGGCCCTACATTGTAAGAGAAAGGAGAACAGTATGAATAATTTTCACGTTTTGGAAATATTTATGACTCTGAAAGAAATTCATCAATTAAGCTGTCTGAACTCTTTAGCCACAAAACCAAGTATGCTGTTTATCCCAAACTCGATGAGTTATTAACTTTCCAAAAAAATTTAGTATTCATTTTACTGCGCTTACCCCTATCATCAAGTGAACGAAAAACTCGCGATAACTTCGATGAAAGAGTGAAAACGCAAAACTTTCTTCAAAGCTGCTACGCCTGTTGTATTTTAAAATTGAAAAAAAAAGAGAGAGAAACCACAGTTTTATGAAGCACTCAAAGTATCCAGAACACCCAGAATTCTTAATAAGATAGTTTCACTGATGAGAAAAGTGAAAATATTACCTGATGTGGTGAACGCACTGTCGCAGAACTTGCAATGATGCGGTTTCGTGCCTGTGTGAGTGTTAACATGATTCTGTAATGAAGCAAGTGTCTTAAATCCCCTCTCGCAGACACTGCACTTGTGGGGCCTTTCCTCAGAGTGTGACTTCATGTGTCTCGAGAGTAGATAGCGCTTTGGACTCGTGTAGTTGCAGTAATTGCACATGTGCGCCTGAGTTACGGTCTGTGATTTTTTCGGTAAATACTTGACAATTTTAGTTTTATCATCGTCAGCTTCGTACTCGGTTTGCGCACCATCGTTATCCTCGTTGTCCTCAAAATCGTATACTGTGAGATCTTGCTCACCCTCTTCTCCCTCGACCCCCTCACCCTCGACTCGTTCCTTCTCCTCGCCATCTGGCTGCTGTACAATCAGAACGTAGCTGACTTCACCAGGATTGGTATCTGAGGGGACTATCGTCACTGTTTGGTAAGCATCTGTCGAGTTTAATACCACATTTCCATTACTGGAAACTTGACCATCCTCCTCGGCCTCTACATTCTCGAGCTCCTCAACTTCGTGGTACTGCTCTTCTTGGACTTCCTCTGGCTGTCCCTCTTCCTCTACTTCCTGAATCTGCACTTGGGTCATAACTGGCGCATCGTCACTGCTGGCTTGGTAGTAGTACTGGCCCGATTGGTCTACGAAGTATGTACCACCTTCTTCACCACCGGAGAGACCTTCAACCTGCTGGACTGTTATCAGAGACATTTATCAGTGGTTTTATGATTATTTGAGGACGCTAAAACATTAGCAAGAACAGAGAGAAAAGATTTTCGTGTTTCCAGAGCAAAATTAGTTTGAAAAATTAATTATTTTAAGAAACTCATCATTCTAGACAAGATTGCAGTGAGAATAAGAAACTGTTTACTTAATTTCAGAAGAAAAATAGAGGAAATTCAGTACCAAAAAAATTTGCATTCTAAAATGAAAACATGTGAAAGGGATTAAATTATAGAATTGCAACAGCATTTATAAACATGAATAGATTAATTTAAACATACAAAAAATAATTATTTTAAGAGTGAGAGTTTTCTGGAATCGTATCGCGTTTTTTGGAAGTTTTTGATGTTAAGACCCGCGTTTATTATCTTTCGAACGAGATCTGGGTTGTTTTTTTTTATTTTGGTAATCTGCAGTATTCTTCGATTGCCAATCAGTTTTACATAGCCCTGGAGGCTTCAAAAATTATGATTGCACAATCAAAACAACGTTGAAAAAAACTGAACATTTTCAAAGAGCGTTTTTGAATAATATTGGTAAATAAACCCAATAGGGAGGAAATTGCAAAGAAATAATTTACAGTATCGAATGGCTGTTCAGTCGTCATTTGCCTCAATAGCCAATGCGTCAGATTGTTAGCTGCCTTGATAAATTATCCATTTACAAATTCCTCTCTGCCGGACTTATTCCCTCATCTTTTTTTTTTTGGTTACGCAACCATAATTTTTAGAGACACCTACGTGATGTAAAATCCAGTGGAAATTGTGGTATATTTTAGAATACGAAAATGGAAAAACAATCGAGATAACGTTCGAAAGATAATCCATCCGGATCTTAAATTTTTTTCTCTTCCATACGCAGTGAATAAACCAGTAATTTCTTGACAATTATTCCTGTACTTTTTGTTTCTTTATGATTCTTAACAAATGCACATGGACAGTAGTGCCTTGGGCACTCGAAACATTGTGCGATCTTCATATTTTGTGGAGTTTTTTGTTTTTTTCTTTTGTTCTTGTGAAATCGAAATGTTCATAATTTGAGAATCTCAATGCCTTTGATTAAAAAACCCCAGCGCTGTTATTTCAAGAATTTAGAAGTTCTGAACTCCAGAATTAAGATTCCCTTAAAATGCGAGAAATTGTGCCTTAATTGAAGTTCAACCATACCAAAGTTGAGTAAAATTTACTGAGAAGTCGACCTTTCCCATTAAATTCTTATTTTTATGGAAAATATTCTTGAAATAAGTGAAAAATTTCGCTTAGTGAGATTTTACTGGAAACTAGAAACTGCTTTTTCTCGGCAATGGAACTGAAATATAGGGGTAATGAACTTACGCTGCACATGTTGCAACTGCTCACCCTGGCCACCTTCGATCTCTTTATTAAACGTCTCCAGATAAGTCTGGATTTCCGTTACCGACTCCTGCCCCTCTTCAAGCTTTATCGTCGTTACGTTAGCCGACATAGTGCAATCATCAATCTCCCCAGGTTCTTCAATGCTGAAGTTTCAGTAAAGCCACTGTAACGTTAATAATCATAGAATCATTGACCTATTTCGATGAGTAATAATTCCTTAAGGCTAATCCAACATCGGTGAATAATCATTGCCTGACGAATTGCTCCAAAAATGGTCAAATCTCTGTGCATGAGTGAGAAAAAAATCAATAATGAGTCCACGAAAATTGAGGTATATTACATCTGTCCAGGGGTGAATCGATGCACATGAAAGAAGGATGATTATGCATGTTTAGTCGACGAGAATTGAATGAATGAATTGATCAAGGATGCCATAAGGACCTAAAGTAGCACGGCCGAGTGTCTCGTAGGCGTATACGGTGCTATGCCACTTGGCAATCGTGGCATCGTCTGCACTCGCAACGCTCGCCATATTATCTCGAGCAAATGCAGTATCTGGCATTCATGAAAATTTGTAATTAACAATTGTCAAAGGATGTTAATTTTCACGAGGAAAATATGAATGCAAGTTGAATGCTTTCATTCTCAGGACACAGGGGGCATTAACGGGAACAAACCAAAAATTTCACAAAATTATCACTGTCGGCGCTGTCATCAATATGGACGGTGGGACGCAGAGCCAAAGGCGAGAGCAAAGGGGACCCAGAGAACGACTAAACGCGCCTCCTTCACCGCATCATTCCACCCGTTCCACAATACCCGTTCTTCCCGCATTACATTACTCACCCATAATAAACACAAAAAGTCTAACTATTGAGTCGTAATAAAGCACAAATGAGGTTAGTCGTTATTCCATAATCCATTAAAAAAAAAAAATTAATTAATCCATTGGTCTTCTTATGATCAATTCCTCTCCAATCAAGTTTATCGTAATATATCGTATTCCGTAATATCGGTCTTGGTATGTATTTGGGGGGGCTATCGCTCGGTTGTTGAAAAGAAAAAACGTGCGGCGCCACGAAAGCCTTGGACAAATATCCGCTTACCTCGTTCGTACGTGTGAGGGCGTTGTGTAAGATTCAACGCAGTAGACCCCAATATGGCCGATCGAAACTTTGGGAATATATTCTTCGCTCCTTCGTTCGTCTCCTCGCCGTTTGCCTCACTTCCCTACCCAATACACGCCAGAGGCTGCCTTCGTGTTGGATTGCTTCGGTAGGTTGTGCCCCGTTCAAAATTTGCCTGCGCAGATGCTTGTGCGCAACAACTGCTGTCCAAATAATTCCCCCACTGGCTTGTGGTGGGATAGAGACAGAATGAGGGCGACGTGTTTACACCAAGCGATTTGTAACAGGCATTATTTTTCACTATTCACCAGACACGTTTACGTCACACATTCGGTTGATAAATCGCAATTGAACGTTTTTCATGGGTTTCACGGGCCATTCGGTGGTTGGGGGATCGTTTAGTCTATCGATTTAGCACCTGGTGTGTATTTTTTTATTGGAAATTTTTGCTTTTGTCGAGTATGAGGCCCGCCAAATGCAGAGGACGCACCGAACGACCCGGGAGATCGACTACTAACGCCAGAACGGACGAAATTGGACGCTACATGAAAAGGGCGGGAAACCCTCCCTCTTCCCCCACCATCCCCTCTCGCTATTACTGGGGTTGAGTGGCTGGAGTGGGGGCACCGGTCCCCTTGCTCTCTCCCCGCCTTTGGGCTCCAATTACCCCCACTCAACTGCCCCCCCATTTCAACGAATTTCCAGGTCTGTTTCTCCTTTTCTCTTTTTCACACTGATTGATTGAATGAAAGGCTCGGGGATTTTACCATCTGCAAATTTTATTCTAAGCTTTTTTATATAAATTACAAAGTTACAGGTTTGCTTTCCATCGAGTAAGCAGTATTTTCATCTTATAAATTATGTTTGTTATTGATTATAAAATATATAGGAATTTCTTAGCTCGAATAACACTTCATTAGATTTATTTTGTATAATAGGCGTATAAATGAATGGGGAGTAGTTGCGCGCTTCGATAATCACTCGTTCGCCGGCGGCATTGAAAATTTTTATTTTCACATCACAGACACAAATGTATAAAAGCATACAAAAATATTCCTCACGATTATTTGAATTTTTATCTTTTTTCCGTTTTTTTTCTTTTGGCTGAGGAATTTCATTGTTGCAGATTGTTTGTCTTGTGGAGTGGGAGAGACTGTCCATCGAATAAAAGAGAAAATTCAATAGGAATGACAACTGCTGTGGAATATTATTTACACGGCTCTGTTGTATTGTTTGGCGTAACCGTTTGGTGTTCACAAGTTGTTTACGAATTCTTTATAAATTGTTAGGTTCCAAGCGCTCGACTTTGTTTAACTAATTCTGCGTCGTTGGGAGACTAGCAATTGCAGGCCTCGTACTACCCTCGATGGAGGTGACAGCTCTGATCACTGGTGATTTGTCCAATGTCGGAACGCAAGATGTAGACGATTGCAATGGCTGCTACCACTGTCCAGATTATTGATATTATCATTACGTGCTTCAGAGTTCTCAGCTCTTTGTGCAGCTTGCCATGACACTCCTCGAGATGTGACAGCTGGGAAAATGTTTTTAACATTAGGAAAATTATTTTAATTGGCGTTTTTGTTCTAGAGAGGAGGGTGGGGTGAATACCTTTGTGTACAGTTGATCCATCGTTCTCTCGCTTCCTGGCGACCCTGGGGAAAGAATCGATGTCGTTCCACCTGCTCCATCACGACACCAGACTCTATGATGCTCCGCTGATTTTCCATTAGTCTGGAAACAAATGAGAACGTTTGAAATGAGGGAATGATACTATTTAGTTGAATTTTTAATCATCGGGGCCTTGAGAATCAGGGATTCTAGGAGAAAATGCGAGAAATATTTTTTGTGAGGATTTATACGTAACCAGTGTCTTTAATTTTTTAATGGTATGATGAACAATTACTGAGAATTTTTAGACGTAACACCAACAAAGTCTCGTCAATGGTTTTTTCTCGAAATTGTTTTTCAAGATAAAACACAATTATGGAAAATATCGGGTGCACACAAAAAAAAAGTTTGTAGTTTCCAGAACAAAATGAGGAACTTGTAACTCAATATTAGAAGAAAAATCTTTAAAATTTAATACCAAAAACTGAACTAGTTCAATTAAGAAAAGTTCTTGAATTAAGAACACTCCCCAAGTAGAACCCATCACAGATAGATTCAAAAAATTAACAACTTTCGCGCTTAATAAAGTGGACCATATTCTCAATCTCTGTCACAAGCACATTCCCAATCCTATCGCCAAGAGTGCGATACAAGTATTCCCAGCAAACCCTCCTAAAGAATCTTGAAACGATTCGCATAGAAATGAACAAAAAAGATGGCTGGGGAAGTAATAGCACTTTATATAAACAACAAGAACTCTCCACCGTCTTTCTTCACTCTCGTCAAACCCTTCAAATTATTTCACTGCCATCCCATACTTTCCAATGTAAAAATTTTTATTTCCCACTTTTTTGTTCTCGACTGCACACTGTATGTTATAGCAACATTAAACTAAATATTTCTGTAAATACCAGGCTAAAGGCCTTCGCTTAAAAATGAAAAATAGGCCGTCAAAAATGAAAAATAAATGAAAGCATTCGAAAAAGATTAAATTCTGGACTAATTTTAAAACAAAGACATCATGAATTACGAAGGTGTTCTTAATTTAAGAATCCGATTGTTCTTCCTTCAAGAATATCAAGCATCTGAATTCCAGAACTACGATTTCTTTCAAATAAATGAAAATGTAGGGGAGAGTGGGGCAAAAACAGCTGAAAAACGACTATTCAACGCAATTCAAGCAAAAAAATCTTTCAACAATCTTTCTTTTATTAACTTTTTTTATTGTTGGGAGTGCTGTTGAGAATAATAATTTTCTATTCAGTAGAAAAGAACATGCGGTGCGAAAAAATCACTGACATTCTAAACTACGTCCACAAATGAATCCCCCGACAAAATCTTCTCCCGTCAAAACTTCTCACTAATTTTCCATTTTACTGGACGGAAAATTATTATTCTCGTCAGTATTCCCAATAATCACAAAAAGTTGATAAAAAAAAAACTGCTAAAATTTTTTTTTTGCTTGAATTGCGTCAAACAGTTGTTTTTCGACCGTTTCATTTTGACCCACTGTCCCCTACCTTAACTGAAGTACAATTATACTACATTCAAGCATTTATTACAGTGACAGACAGAGTTCTGAAATTTAGATAGCTTCGCTGGAAACAAAAACTTTTCTTCTCTGTACACGTTATTAACGAATTACCATTGCGGATTTAGGTAGAGAGACACTCGATCAATACCTTCCAAAAATCAGCCAACTCTTCAGCTGTCATCTTGGCATCTTTCATCGGCAGACACATGATCAAGAATTTATCATTGTGTAATAATGAGCGTAAATTGAAACCAGGCTGCAATGATACCGTCACGGTCACCTGCTGCGCTGGCAGTAATACACCCGTGCTCCTGCGTACACGGAATTTCTCTGGAGCCGTTGTTTTTATCTTGAACCATAAGTGGAAATTAAAAAGTAAGTTCTCATTGAGGTGTGATTACTACCCAGCGAGAATAGTTACCTTGTATGAAATACATTTATCAGCAGTTTGGTTCTTCAGTGCGATCGTACCGATGATCTCCTGCCCCTCTTTGTTGAATGATATTACGTCTGGAGTTATTGCAAGCACTGAAAAAAGACGAATGAATAATTAATGAAATCGAGTTTTAAATGATTGGGATTGTGTGCAATTGTTGAAGGTCATTACTTGAGTCTTCACTCGATTGATCTCCAAAGCCAGAGGCTGGCTGCTCATTCAATGGTGATGCCTCAGCAAAGTGCACCTTTTTATTATCCAATTTACCATTCAACGAATTAACACCATTACGAACTTCCGGTACGAAGGTGAATTTATAATCGTTATCTCCACCCCAACATACCAGTCCAACACTCGGATCTACATATTCCTTCAGCCCATTCTTGTTCACCTGTTTTATTTTAGGAATAGCTTTCGCTGGAAGCCAGGATTTTATGATCTTCAATGCAGCGTTTAGAACCCATGGCATTTCAAGCAGAATTATGTTGTTGAGATAGTTTGGGTAATAGTATTTGAATAGATTTATGAGGTATTTTGTGAACTCCATGTCCATGTTTGAAAGGCCTGCCTCACACATGTCGAAGAAGAGGGTGATTTGTTCATTGCCTTCTCTGAAATTGAACGGGAATGAAATTTAATGAGTTTCGAAATAGATTCGTTTAAATAGATTCGCCAATATCTTCGGGAGCAATAAAACTAGAGGGATCCTTCGTAATTACTTCCTTCCCTGGTAAAACAGTCCGATTATTTCCGACTGGGTGATAAAAAATGAATCGGCGTTAATTATGTTTCTGTCTTTGCCCGTTAAATTCCGATTGGCTGGTAGGTAGAGTTTGGAGTTTGAGAAAATTATGAGAATTAATGGGAACAAGGGTATGTGGCCGTTATCGTTCGATTACTTTCTAAAGAAGTGCTTGATAGATCTCATATTACGCATATAAATATTTAAATGAGCAATAAATATTAAAGATTTTGTTTTCTGTTTTCAGTTGAGTTTTTGAGGAATATTTCCGAATGTAAGGGAGATAGCGAAATTTTTAGAATTATATTTGTTGCACCTCTCAATCGGCTCTGCAAAAAAGGTTTTAAAAACATTTTGCTATCTCCTTTAGATTCCGAGATATTCGTTGAAAACTGTTCAATAGTCAAAATTGACTTGTACCGTTTTCCCACTTCGCTACTGAAATATACTAATCGAAATTAAAAATATTTCTTATAACGGATTTTCAATTATCCAAACAATCGTCAATCTTCCTAATTGAATTACTGATTAATGAATAATTCAGAATTTGAATATTTAAATTGATGATTACTCCAATAACTAAAACTTAAGAGTGATACTAACGAATTGATTACTTAATAATTTAACCTCAACTATAATTTATGGATATGGCTATCCCTGACCAAGAGTTTAATAAGAGGATTAGAAAAATGAAAGCAAAGCGAGAAGAAACTCGTCTTTTCTTTCTAATCTCAAGGACAGTTACCTTCAAAGTAATCTGTGCGATTTTTCCTCATTCATCTGAAGGTGTTATTAATTGATCAAATCAAGGTCTCCCCTACTCTATCTCCATTCGTTTCAATATAATTAATTAATTGTATTGCATTATATTGTTTGTTTTCTTTCGTTTTTTACGGATTCAAAGGGATTTTATCCTGCAGACTTCTCAATAAAGAGAAAAATTAAATAATGAAGATTCATTTCCTTTCCATCCGTTTAAACCAATAAATAATGCACCTCTGCAGTTCTCCAAATTATTAATTGATCCTAAATTAGAGGAGAATGGAGCAAAATGAAACAGTCGAAATTCAAGCGAAAAAAATTTTTTTATCAACTTTTGTTCATTAACTTTTTCTTTATTCTTGGGAGTACTGATGAGAATAATAATTCTCCATTCAGCAGAACGGAAAATTATTGGGAAGTTTTGACGGGAGACGATTTTGCCAATGGATCCTATTCTAATTTATTAAAAAGAAACTGAAACAGCAAAATCCAAAGTCCAGAACAAGGCCCAGGGGCTGACCCAGAGGGGGAAAACGGAAAATATGATGCTGAATTTCAATCGAATGAGAAATGAAAAGTGTAAGCGGCCTAATTTAATCAATTGTATTATAATCCACTAAATTATGAGACGAATAGAAAATTGTTATTCTCATCAGTACTAATAATAAAAAAAGTTGATGAACAAAAGTTAAAAAAAAAAAATTCTTATTGAATTGCGTTAAATATTCGTTTTTTGGCTATTTCATTTTACCCCACTCTCCCCTATTAATTTATTAAATCAAGATCTCTCCCTCTATTCCCATTCTTCTCCATATAATTAATTATATTATACTATATTGTTCGCATTCTTTCGTTTTTTACGGATTCAAAAGGTTTTTATCCTGAAGTCTTCTCAATAAAAAACAAGGAGAATTAATTAATGAATGTTCATTACCTTTCCATCCGTTCAAACCAATAAATAATGCACCTCTGCAGCTCCCCAAAGTCCCTAGCGCCCTTTACATGGAGTTTAGACTTGATAATGAACATTCCCCTGCCATCCCTATCCTTGCCATAGCCAAACACCACTCCGTCCTGGAGGTACTCCCGATTGACGTTATCCTCAGTGATTTCTACAAAAGTAAATCTCATAAAAGTCATTTCAACTGAATGACGGACCTTATGCGACCCAAGTAATTACCATTGGCCCCGACTTTTCGTCTCCACTCGCAGGTGGACCACAACAAATTCACCGCCTCTTGAATATTGAACTCCGCGTGTTCCAGCCATCTCCTCAAGTAGTCGTCCCTGGTCTTGATCCTCGTCAGATCATCCGGATGAAAACTACCTGCGAACAGAATGATTTCCTTGAAACCCCTGTCACTGTTATTGGACGAGGAAAAAAGTTCATCCCGAGGCCGATACGAGGAATTTATTCAATGAACATATCCATTGACCTTTGTTCTCGACCGGGCACAGGGCAAATATCTACCTCTCAAGCCCTATTACCATAATACAATAAATAAATCGCTCCAACTTCTTTCCGTACGTCACACAATCACAAAAAACTAGAGAAGAACAAAAGTCCTCGAGAAATAAAAAGACTGAATGAATAATTACGTTCATCTGAAGGTGTTTCATCCTCGAGTTTCTTAAAAAATTTCTCCCTCAACTCCACAATCTGCTGTTGTAAATCCATACTACTTTATTCGGTAATTATCAATGAATCTCTGATGACACCCTGACCGGCGTTGGGGACCTTCGAGTGCCAGTAATGATAAGTACAGTTATGATAATACATGAACGCATTCAATTAATGATCGAAAGTGAAAACAGTTGAGTATCACACAATATTGATTAGCGCGACTTTGACGGGACACTGGCGACTTTATACTGAATTGCGCGATGTTCAAAGGTGCATGCACCTCTCGCTCATCCCCTCCCTCGTGGATGGAGGTGTCAAATATTGAAATCAATTTTTCCTGCGACTCATCCTCGATTTTGCCCAATTTCATTGCATTGTTTTCCTCTCGCATTGGTTATCGATTTGCAAAAGAAATTTGCGTTCAGGATTAAATTAAACATTAATTATTCAAAAAAATGGCGGTGCAATGACGCTGAAGAGAGTGACATTATCGACGCGAAATTAACCCTAACGCCATCACTCAGTCGCACGCGAAAAATCTCCCCTCTTGCAAAAATTCCGGAGAAAACGTAAAAAAAGACCATAAAAACATGTAATTTTGCCCTTTTCTGATCGCTGTATTCAATGAAAGCCCCTCACGATTGTTCTCAACTCTGTTCAATGGCTGTTTAGTGGCTCGCAGCCGTACTGGCTCTCCGTTTTCGCTGTGAGAATAGAGAGGGGAAGCCATTGGAACAAAGAGAACCAAATACAAGCCATGGTTGGAGGTTTTTCGTAGCAGTTGAACAAAAATGTGACAACAACTTGCTGAAGGAGTAAAAATATGTGAATAATCAGGGATGATTTTGTGGAGAATCAGGAATTTGGTGTTACAATTGGAGCCGTGAGGAGTGCAACTTCCATCAACATTTGTGGCATGATTCCCGAGATTCAAGGTTGAGAACCATTTGTTTTAATTATTTTTCGAACATTTGTTGCAACAATGTAAATCCCCAAAGCAAACAACAGTCGATACGTAGATCACGTGAAAAAAAATTCCAGACAAATGAACGAACTCGTGATGACGGAAATATTGATTTGTGTTTCAGAAAAACAGTAGTATCAACAAGTATTGAGAGATAATTCGAGACGAACTAAACGAATAGGCCTTTTCATTTTAGAGTCACGGGTATTCGGGCACTTTTCGCAAATTTACAGAAAGTTTATCATTTTTTATAGCTCGACTCAAATGCGTATTATTTTTTGTAGTAATATTTATAGGAATTTTTCATAATTTCTTTGAAGAGTTTCTAGTTTTTGGGACGTAATAAATATTTTCTCTAGATTATTTAATGCGTTGGGGAGGTTGGGGTAAAACGGACACTTGATTTTTTTTCAATACAAAGAACAATTCTTTCCTTTTGTCACGAGGCTAAACTGAGCTCAATTGATCAATTTGTTTCTGAGTTATGAATAATTTTAAAAAAAGTCTCAAGTGTCCGTTTTACCCCACCCTTCCCTAGAGGCCTATTTATGGCGATAGAAATATTGATTTTTGTTTCGGAAAAAAATAATTGAACCAGCAAGTATTACAAAATAATTGGAGAGAAACTAAATGGAACTAATGGATTCATTATTTTTGATAGCTCAAATACATATTGTTATATTCAGCGATAAATGAAGACAACACAGATTAATAAAATAGTTGGGGCGGTTAATTAACTATTCAACAAAGTAAATATGAAATATTTTGTGTCTTGCACAAGAGCTCCAAAGAGAATCCTCAAATATCCAAGTTACCCAAAAGACAATCGTTACCAACGGGGCTTCTTGAGATCCGTTCGATGATACACAATTGAATCAGGATTCGAAGGGGGGTACGCAACAATATTATCTTTAGTATTTTTCTGCGAATTTTTCATAATTTCTTCAAAGAGATTCTAGTTCCGAAGACGAAATAAATATTTCCCTCAGATTATTTAAAGGAAAGAGCTTATTATTTTATACAGAGAACTTATTTGTGATGATAAAAATATTGATTTCAAAAATTAACATAAATATTGAGAAGTTAGAGACTAATTAAATAAATAGGTCCTTTTATTTTAGAGTCACCAGATATTCAGGTACTTTTAGCGACTCTACATATGAGCAGTTCCACGCCAAATTCGAAACCCAAAAACTTCGATCTCAGGGATTTTCTTATGAATGACACATGAATGTTAGCAAGAATTCAATCATTCGTCAAATGCTTGGGTGATTAACAGAAATTTTCCGTCATTTTCAATCATCTACTGACTCGAAGTATCAATAATTGCCAACCTACTGCGAACGACTGATTTTAACGGATGCGAAAATATTCACCATGTTATCGATGATTTTCAGTAAAAATTTCAGATTAAAAAAAAAATTAGGTTTTTGAGATAATCATGATTGACGAAATAGTACATTACATACTCGAGCCTTGGAAAACAGATCACCGTCCCCCACGTGCAAGATGGCCTTCCGAGCCGAAGGCGAGCACTGCGCGCCACGGAATTGTCGTTTTTCAGGTCCCGTGACACGAAAAAAAATATGTTTTGGTGCATAAACCCCACAAAACTAAAACGGATGCAGCGAGTGAGTCTTTTGAAGGTCTTTTCATGTTCTTCGAGTTTGTTAAAGAGAAATTCGATAGCTTTGAAGAGGGCTGGAATATTTATGATAACGTGCAAAAAAAATTTTTATCGAAAGAAAACTGCGAATTCTCAAAAATCATAAATTCGTCACTTACTGTTATCTTGTGATTATCTGCTGCCCAACTTTTTAAAAAAACAAATGGGTATGAAAACCCTCGACATCGATTTTTTTGGGCTTCGGCGTTGACGTGGAACTGCTTCACAATTCATAATTTTTGATAGGACAGATGAAACAAAGTGGAACATTTGTCATCGACTCAAAATCTCAATATCTGTGTTTATGAACAACGATCAAAACTTAAAGTCAAACCCAAACGTTCCAGTTTGCCCAACTCACCCCTAGCTCAAATGAATGCCATCCTGAAGGATAATCGAGCGAGGAGTAGGATATTCAAAAAATTCAGCCAATTTTATGAAGATTTTTTCACACATTATTGAATCCATGCAGATACCTTTTGCAAAATTTGAGAAACCCCAGAAGCAGGGCAACAACAAAAATAATTTTTAAAGTTGTTGTTTATACATGAGGTTAAGGTACTTCCGCAGTATACTTGGTGAAAATTTCGAAATGGTATAAAGACGCAATATTTGGATCATATGTTGTTGACCACATTAAAAAGATATTGCCAAAATTTCAAGTCCCTGGTCCACCCCATTTTTGAGATATGCATCGCCAAACATTCAATTTTTGTGTTTTTTCCATTTTTGACGATGTATATCTCGAAAATCGGGTGGACAAGGTACTTGAAATTTTGGGAATAGTTTTTGAATGTGCTCGACAACATACGATCCAAATATTGCATCTTTATACCATTTCGAAATTTTCACCAAGTATACTTACTGCGGAAGTTCCTTAAATGGTTCATCGATAATTTCAGTATTTTTTCCACATTGCTGACCGATCGATACTGTAGTGAAAATCGACAAGCTACCGATGTTCCCTTCAACTTCAAGTACGAGCAGCAACGTTAAAAATCATTTTTCTTGTTGCCCTGCCTCTGGGGTTTCTCAGATTTTGCAAACAGTGTCTAAATGGATCCAATAATGTGTGAAAAAATTTTCATAAAATTGGCTGCATTTTTTGAATATCTTACTCCTCGCACGATTATATTTAGTAATGATATTTGGGGAAGATTGGCGCAAAGTGGAACGTTTGTAATAGATTCCAATTGTTAATATCATTGTTCACACAAAAAGATATTGAGATTTTGAGTCAATGACAAACATTTTTCTTTGCCCTATATTTCTCTATGAGGAGAAATCAATCTTTCTCCCATATTATTAAATGAAAGGAGGCCTATGTGTGACCATAAAAATATTGATTTCTTCAAAAACGATTGATAATATCAACAAGTATTGAAGAATAATATGAGATAAACTAAACGAATACGCCTTTTCCCTTTCTAGTCACTAGATATTCGAGAACTGCTAACGAATTTACATACAATCCTTAGTTTTTTATGTCTCTCACATGAATATTATTTAAAAAATATATATTCGTGACAAATAATGAATATTATTTCGTCAAAGATTTACTAGTTCATGTGTGAAATAAATATTTCCCCTACATTATCCACTGAAAGGAGCCCTATTTGTAACGCTAACAATATTGATTTCTTTTTCAGAAGAAAATTAGCAGTATCAACAAGTATTAAGAAGCAAAAGTGTCAACCCCATCAGTCTGTGTTCGAACATGGACCGTGTATGCAGGATATGTTTGACAGAAGCAACGAATTTAACACCGATATTCTGCACTGGCCAAGAACTAGACGATCTCTCCGGTCTACCCCACAAAATCCAGCAGTGCGGTGCAATAGAGATTCACGAGAGAGACGGACTCCCCTCGCTGATCTGTGATGTATGTATTTATAAAGCGAACGTTGCCCATGAATTTCGCCAGCAGTGCCAGCATTCAGACGCCCGACTGAGACTGTACTACGACAAGCCACCACGTACAGATCCCATCGAGACAAGTACCCAGACAGACTCGCAGATTCGAATACTAGTGGCGAAAAAAGTGGACTGCCATCAGCAGAATTACTTCGTTAAAGAGGAGATGCAGAATATGGAGCACGACCTGACGAATTCGATAGATGTTTACACGCAGAATCATCAGGCTGTGGTCGAGACGAGCCCAATAGACCCTGAGGATAAACTATTCTTGTGTCAAATCGGTTTCGATGGCTCCAAGGAGATGGAGAAGGACACTGTAATCCTGGAGGCGGACCCTGACGAGGTCCAGTGCTCCCCGAGGGAGACCCAGGTGCTCCTGGAGGTGCCAAACGACGTGCAACAGCGCCTCCAAGAGACAGAGCACGCAATAACCGAGATAAAGACGAGTGAAGCAGCCCAGTACCTCAACGAGCACTTGTTAACCTCCACGGCCAGCCCAGATGAGGAGGAAGAAGAGGGGATTGGAGTTGATGATACTCTGGATGCCGATGATGACGACATCATGGACAGTGAGCATCCAGAGCCAGACCCTGAACCAGAGCCAGAACCAGAGCCACAGCCCCAGCCGGGGCTACAACCAGAATGTCAACAAGAGCCAGAGCAAGTGCAGGAGCAGGCGCTGGTTGAGACCGAGGCACTGCTCCCTGAGATGATTCTCCCCAGGAGGCCCACCAGAAAAGCAAAACCGAGTCCAGGAAAATCGTACAGTGTCGACGAGCTCGACGGTGAGTTCGAGTCTCTAGGGGACGACGATCACGACGCAGAAGAGCCAAAATTCAAGTGCAAAGTCTGTCATAAGAAGTACGCAACCCTGAAAGGCCTGAAGAATCACTCCCAGGTGCACGATAAAAAGCACAAGTGCCCGACGTGTTCAAAGTTGTTTTATAAACTCGAGAACATGGAGAAGCACAGTAAAATTCACGAGACCAAGCCCCACGCTTGTCAGACATGTCACACGTCATTCGCGAAGCCACAGAGTCTAGTGAGACACATGAAGACTCATGTGGACCAGCAAATGGAGGACTCTATGAACGACGCTGGCTATAAAAAGGTGTCGAAGCTTGATAATTCTGATGACGAGGACGATCCCCAGGGAAACGAGCCAGATGAATTCGAGAATGCCCCTGGACTCTACAAATGCGACATTTGTAACCAATTCTGCTCGTCCCTGAAGAACCTGAAACGCCACGCCCTCGTCCATGGTGAGAAAAAGTATTCGTGCACAGTCTGTAAAAAGTGGTTCTTCAGACCAGACACACTGAAAAAACACGCTGAGAAACATGGTCACGGTCTTTTGGACAATTTAGTCGACGAGAACAAATTATTCGACTCTGACGATGACTCCCCCACTCAACCTATGTACAATGTAAACGATAATTCAGGGAAACGAGAGGAGAGCGATGAGGACTATGGATCGGGCGAATACAAATGTCAGCACTGTGACAAAGTGATGGCCACGATGAAGGGTTTGAGAAGACATTTGTCGTGTCACAAGCCGAAAGCAGAGCCAGTGGTCTGTGAGGTTTGTAAAAAAGTTTGTGCCAGTCGGGCTAGATTGGCTCTCCACGCGAAGACTCACAATAAATCAAAGGAAAAAGTTCCGAGGGAGTATCTGTGTCATATCTGCAGCAAAGTATACCCCAGTAATTCGTCGTTGACGTATCACATGAGGACACACACGGGGGTGAAACCGCACGTCTGTAAAATCTGCAACAGTGGATTTACGACGACAACGAGTCTGGCTAATCACATAAGAATTCACACAGGTGATAAACCATTTGTCTGTCACGTATGCAGTGCTGCTTTTGCTGTGAGCTCGGCCTTCAGGAGACACTTGACTCGACACACTGGAGAGGCGAATTATCTGTGCAAAACGTGTGGCAAGGCGTTCAAACGTCTGAGCACTCTTAAAGAGCATACTTATACGCACTCGGGGGAGAAACCGTATGTTTGCAAGACTTGTGGAGCTGCTTACAGCCACTCTGGGTCCCTCTTCGCGCATCAAAAACGCTGTCGAGCGCAGTATGGGGAGCTAGTGCCTGAGGAGCATCATAATGTCGTCGCTCATCATATTCATGTTAATAATGTGCAGACTGCTGTGAGATCACTCGCTGTCATTGGACAAATATTTTAAAATCACGAGTTTTAACATCTGTAGATATTATGAACCTCTTTGGGGATTAAAATTCTTTGAAGGGGTTACCAGTGTCGTACAATTAAGGTATTGGATGCCGAATCGCTGCCTCAATCCCGAACTATAGCCCAGTGCATTGTACAAGGCTTGTATTACGTGGGATAAATCAAGAGATTGGATGAATTATGGATTTTGTACGATTCTTCATTCAACAAATTTTATTCATCTGATTATCATCAAGTCATACTGATAAATGACTGAATTTATTTTACGATTGATTGATTTTTTTTAGTATTAAAATAAAAAAAATTGTTGGATACTGTGAAGACGAAATTAGAGAGTAGTATGGAGTAGTGAGTACGTTATTAGGATTACTGTAGTTGGTTAAAAAAGCTGTTTGATACGAGAGTCAGAAAGAATTATCATTGTATGCCTCTTTTTTCTATAAACGAAAATGCTTGAATAATTATTTTTCATACTTTGCAATCATTTATTCATAAAAAATATCCTTTTATTATTTAAATAGATTTCGGTAATCTATTGCAGAGGTAATCAGACTAATCGTCTTCGGTCTCTTCGGCCTTCTTTTTTAGTATCCTGTAGCGCCTCCAGATTGATTGTCGAGTTCGGTTTAGTGTCGCTGCAAGCTCCGCGAGGTACATGTTTTTGTCCAAATCGGGGTTGTTCTCAATTTTATCCATTAGAATTTTATCTTCGAGAGGTGTGTATCTGGGGGAAAGAAGAATGATTACTTTCACTAATTAAGTGGAGATCGATTCAATGACAGGGTTAAGTCTACAGTTAATTTGACTTCGAGATCGATTTTTAAGAAATGTTTTTCAATTGAGGGGGATACGGAGACATTTATTTGTAAACCTCACTTTGCTCTATGAAAATGGTCTCCAGAAATTTCTGTTGGAGATCCTTCGATGTGGGAGAGATAATGGAGTTGGAGTTGATTGAATTATCAAAGATGGAATGTTTTTTCGTTTAGTATTTCAACTCTCTGACATATATAACTAATGCTTGTATGACTAACAATTCAAATTTTCAAAACACTCATGTTCTTCTGGTAAAATACTGAACGTGGTCAGTTTCGCTATGATTTCCAAAAGAATCTGTTTAGAACGAAAATTGATTGTTTACGAATTATTTCGGGGAAACAATCGTAACTTTCCACAAATTCAACTTTTTAAATCAATTCTTCGAATCTTCTTCCAGAAGTAGACTGCATAATTCTTGTAAGATTATTGGAATGTTTTCTAAGGGTAAAAAATTGAGAATCAAATTAGAATCAACTTTGGATCAAATGGGGCTTAAGTGGAAGCGCTTGCTGTTGGAGGAATTAAAAAAATTATATGGATCAGTCCTTGGGTATTTTAAAAAATTGGCCCTACTGTGAAATAGACTCGTATGGTGAAGGAGTAAAATGATCTAAGTTCATTTAATTTCATCGTCACTTTTCGCAGAATATTTCGGAATCTCCGAAAGACGACGGAATTGTCATAGGGACCTATACTGCAGAAAAGAGCTTTCACAGAGATGAAAAGTTTCTCGTTTCCAGTAAAATTTTTGAATTTCAGAACTATCCTTTACAGACTTGACGTCACTGAAAAACTTATTCTGAGAAATTTTTCCACAAAAATCGAAGAAAAACATTTACAATTTTTGTAAGTTTTTCTTAATTGGTATTTAAATTAATGCATATTTTCTTCTATTCCAAAGAAATCTTGATTCGGAAATTCAGAACTTTTGAGGGGAGACCGTACTGAAATTTAAAAATCTCCGGGGCCTTTATCTACCGTGTTGATGAGTTAATTGCTTCAGTTTAAATGTAAAAGAATAATTAAAAAATTGATTTTGATTTTTTCTATGGATCAGAAAGGGGCTTTAAAGAAATGCCATCTTCAAAAGTACCCTCATGGCTCAATCCTTAACACATTGAGCTAAACATTGTCTTACACATACAGAAAATATGCATCAATATGATTGAATTTTTTGTTAATTTTAATTTTTTTTATTTTTAGAATTTTATATATATTTGTGAATATATTACATATGTGTGAATCAAAAGTTGAATCAATCGATTGAGAACTGCATCATGATGACACTTTTGAAGATTTGCTTCCTCTATAAAGCCTCTTTCTAATCAATGAAAAAAATTTAAGCGTAATCTTTCCTTATTATTTTACACTAAAACTGGGATAGTAAACTCATCACCTGCGTGAAACGAGGCTTCACGAACTGAGTAAAAAAAAACATTACTTCTTTATAAATAGTTTCATATTTTCAGTACAATGCCTTCTACAACCATGAGTTTCTCAAAATTAATAATTTGGTTCTGGAAACTAGAAACTTTTTTTTCTCTCTGTTATTACAAATTTCGAAATATCATCTTTCAAGTTCAAGATCATTCAATCAGAGTACAGAAATTGAATTGCTCACCTGTCCGTTTTATGTGTACTAAACAAATTCTTGAATCTCGCGTATACATGATACAGTGATCTACTAGGCAGTCCATGAGCCAAAAACTGAAGGAACTTTTTCCTCTCTTCCATCTTGGGAATATAGTATGCCCCCTTGTGCCTCCAGGCAGTGAATGGAAGTGTCAGTTCAGGATTCCAGTCGTGCCTCTTACAAAAATTCCTCCAGTTCTTCAGAATGATCTTGTCCTCCTCAACCTGCCAGACCCCAGTCCTCAGTTTCTCAAATGTCTGGAAATTCTGCTTCTCCTCTGACGTGAGTGCTCGACATCCAGCAGTCATCTCAACGTCGTGTTGCGGTGGCACTGGATGTTTCAAGTTAACAATCAAGCTCCTCAATCGACTGATCTGTTCCTGACTGAGGGGTTTGGGTTTATTTTTGACATCGTGCACCTCGTCCTCGTCAGTTGGCTGTCTTGGGGTAATTATTCTGTCCTTTACAGAGACAGGATCCTCTGCTTTCACCTTGGGAGGAGCTCTCGGACGACCTCTCGTTTTAATTCCATTCATCAGAGCTGAATCATTCGTTTGTGTCCCCACATCTCTCACTTTGGTCTTTGTTTTGATCTTCACAGGCTCATTACAGTTCTTACACGATTTCTCATCCATCTTTTTCATCTTGTATTCCTCGCCCAGTGTCAACTGTTCTGCAAGTGGAACTTTGGTGATTCTCTTGACTGGTCGCTTTGTTTCTTTGGGAGGTTCAACAGATTCTTGACTCTTTTGTTTAGCAGTTTGTTTGGTTTGAAGAGCAGCTTCAGGGATCAGTTTGGGTTCGACAGACTTAGTTGGGGATTTCTTGGGGCTTGGCTGCTTCACAGGCTCTTTAGTTTCCTCTTCGAATACATCCTGAGGAGGATCAGCATGTCTCTCTGGATCACTGACAACTTCCTCGTGCTCTGTGAAAAGGTTTTTATGAGATTTTGAAGACTTTTTGGGGCTCGTCTTGCCTGGACTCTGCTGAACATCCCTGAGAGTCTCCTTGGACACTGTCTCTTCAATTTCTAAAGGAGCTTCAGCATCCGTCACATCACCATTCTCTTGGGAATTCACAGGAGACTCCTCCGTCCGTTCTTTTTTGAATTTTTTGGGGCAGGGACGATTTTTCCTAAAAGTCTCACAAGGGGAATGTTCGACCTCCTGTCTCTTCTTCTTTTTCTTCTTGGGAGAGTCTTTGGACTCCACCTGGGGCTCCTTTTCATGATCCTGTGATCCATTTTTCTTCACACTGACGTCTTTGGGGGTTTCTGCCTGTGCTTCTGGTGCTTCAGCCTGAATCTTCCTCTTCTTATCCTTCACTTTCTCCTTGGGCTTCTGAAATTGATCCTCAGAATCAGACATCTCCAACCAGTTAGGTAATCTCCGTTTAGAGTCATTGAAAGAGTTCTTATCCAGATCACTCTCACTTGATGATGACTCTCGTTTTGGCTTCTTCTTCCTCTCTTTCACGACTTTATCGTCCTCATCGTGTAACAATCGTTTACTGGATTTTTTGGATTTCTTCACTCGTTTGTCGTCTTCCATATTGGCAGTTAAATTCCTCTGTTTTGTTATTAACAATTGACTCTGAAAAAGGCGGGAGAGGACCAGATCAGAGAGGTTAGAACGCCCCAAACATCTACCAGCATGTGACTCTAACAACCCTGAAGTTGTCGCCAAATGCACGCTTACCACTTTCACTTTTCATCTGTTATCTTGGCAGTCTTATCACGTGAAATGCTCAAGTGACCACTTCTCTCCACTCAAAAAAACAAAGCGGACGGTTTGAGCGGGAATTGCACACTCCCAGTCCACCATTAGGCCACAAAAATCGTTTGTGAATCCTTGGAGATCATTTCGAAATTGAAAAAAACACCAGCGCACATTAAAATCGTTCAAAATTGAAAATTCAATGTTTAAGTAATTCTCTCGTGACAAATATACGTTGGATCAACTCAGGAGAGGTCATTTCAAGTTCTTATAAACGTCAATAGAACGCCAGTGGCAGATAAACATGGCCGAGCAAGAAGAAACTGTTGAGAATGTCGAAGAGGAGAAGTCAGTTACAATGCTGGACGTCTTGCAGGAGGAGAATCAGCTTGAGGAAGATGCTAATGCTGTTCTGGGGGCTTCTGATGATAAGAATTGCACTTACGGTCAGGTATGCTCTCAGGGGTGACCCCAGATTTGATGGAAACAGACGGCACTGGACGTGCAAGCTTTTTGCAAGTGCTTCTCATTTTTTGGAATTGATTGATCATTTTTTGGAATTCTTTCAGGGATATATCAGACAAGCTCTGTATGCTTGCAACACTTGCTGCCCTGGGGGCAAGGAGCCTGCAGGTGTCTGCCTGGCCTGCAGCTTTCATTGCCATGAAGGCCACGAGCTGATTGAACTGTACACAAAGAGACACTTCAGGTGTGACTGCGGGAATTCCAAGTTCAATGGGAAAAAATGCAGTTTGGATCCTGTAAGATTGGGGTTTTATTTGTTCGCTTGTTTCTATTAACTTTTTATAACTTATGAGTGAATTTCGAACACTTCTTTCAAATACTTTTCTCGCATGAAAAAGTGAAGATTGGAAGAGGGGAAAAAATGGGATGGGATAGGTGTTTTTGACATCCTACACCTCGTCCTCATCAGTTGGCTGTCTTGGGGCAATTATTCTGTCATTTACAGAGACAGGATCCTCTCTTTTCATCCTGGGAGAAGCTCTCGGACGACCTCTCGTTTTAATTCCATTCATTAGAGCTGAATCACTCGTTTGTGATTCAGAAGATTGGAAGAAGGGAAAGAAATGGGATGGGATAGGCGAACCGTTCAGTGATCGAACCGCTCAATGTATTTTATTCAGAAGGAACTATTGATCTGGTGGCATCGACCCTCTCCCTCTTTGACAAACAGCGTAATTTATAATGAAAATTTATGGAGCTCACTGATTCTCGAGTCATTGTCGAATCTAATTCGCTCAATTATTGGTATTTGTTAGATTTTTTTCGTTTGAACTGTGGACGATTCACAGTGAGAAAAAATATTGTTTTTGGCAAAGAATCATTTTTTTGGGAGAAAAATTTATTTTTCAGGAGCGTATTTCTCCAGGCCAGTCATTCTCGAGTGGTCCATGTTCATCTGTAAATATTAAAAGAATGTTTTTTTTTTCAGTCAATTGAAATTCAGCATCACATTTTCCTTTTTCCCCCTTTCGGTCTCCCCCTGCATCTTCCTCTGGACTTTGAATTTTGGTGTTTCATTTTCTTTTCAATTAATCCATTAACAAAATCTGCCATCAAAACTTCTCAATAATCCTCTATTCTACTGAATGCAACAATATTATTTTCTTTAGTACTCCCAAGAATGAAAAAAAATTACAAAAGTTAATAAAGAAAAGTATTTAATACAAATAAAATGTTTTCCTTGAATTGTATCAAACAGTCGTTTTTCGAGTGTTTCATTTTGCCCCACTCTCCACTAAATGGATTATTTTTTTCGAGATTGAAGTATCAAGACAATATACTAATTACGATTTCGAACATTGGAAATGCAATTCGCAGCTATTTTTATGTACATTCTCTGGAAAATTTGAGAAACAAAAAAGGTGACTATTTGAAAGATTGAGTACACTGGATCGTTTTTTTGATAATGCCATTTCAGGCTTCCAAGCGTCTAATGGATAATAAACAATGAGCTTTTCCATACTCATCAGTTTATGCATACATAGAAAATAGGGTACACATATGGAGATCTTTACTTCAATGATCTGTAATGTTGAAAACTCATAACAGTTTCCCTTCTTCAATTCCCTAGTCTTCCATGATCTTCAACCGAACAGTTGAAGGTTTACTTTTGAAATATTGAACTGTCACAACATCACTTTCCAATGAAGAAAGTATTTTCAATCAAGATTTCTTTTGCTTACAGGCAAAAGCAAGTACCAATAGTGAGAATGAGTACAATCAGAACTTCACAGGGGTGTACTGCACCTGTGGCAGGCCATATCCAGATCCCGAAGATACCACCAATGATGAGATGCTTCAGTGTGTCATCTGCGAGGATTGGTACCACTCAAAACACCTGAACTGCAAGGATGACACTCCTGAGGAGAACTCCTACGAAGAGGTCGTGTGTTCTGGATGCATGAGCAAGCATGACTTCCTGTGGCGTTATGCACTACAGTATTCTGTTAATAAGAGCATTAAGAAGGAGGGGGAGAAGGTGGATGAGGCTGTTGATGTCACTGGGGCATCTTCTGAGTGTAAACTGCCTGAGAAGGGGGTGGAGAATGCTGAGGGTTCGTGCTTCTGGGCTGAGGGATGGAGGGCTGCTCTGTGTACCTGTGATAATTGCAAGAAGGTATGCAGGAGAGTAAAGAAGAACTCGTGAGTCATTAGTCGTTTTTATTTATTCACTTCGGTTCGTCTTGCAGATGTATGAGAAAGGAAATGTCTCTTTCCTCATTGATCCCACTGACAGTGTCCAGGCCTATGAAGAAGCTGGAAAACTCGTACGTTCAGAATCAGCATATGAGAGAGGAATGAAGGCTCTTGCTTCCCTCGATCATGTCCAGCAAGTCAATGCCATTGAAGGTAAATTCACGTAATAACTGGGTTGATGTAGAAAATTTTCGTATGGAGGGGAACTAGTGTTTTCTGGTCCGTCTTACGACCGTAGATCGGATCAATCATTATTTTAGTAATATTATGAAAAGTTGCACCTGGCAATAATTAAGTTTTTACTTATCTTCATTGAAATTTGAAAAATAATTTAATAATTGGTAATTTGAATTTCTCAATTATTGGTTGATGAACTAATTCGGAATTTCAATATTTAAATTGATGGTTAATTTAATAATCCAAAAATTCGTGAATTATATTAACAACTGACTTACTCAAAATTTAACTGTAATAAAAAATTATCATTATGCCGATGTCTGCTTACGACGGTCCACTTTTTTCCACGTTGAAATCCTGTTTTGGACCATAAATCGTAGAAAATTCTAGACTTTTATTTATTTATTGTTGGGCCCCTGGGTACATACATGAAGAGTCTTGGAAACTCTGGAGTTAATCGAGAAGTTTTTAGAAATGCCCACAATCTTGTTCAAAGCTTGGAAAATACAGAGCTTTCTAGACGATTACCAAATTTTCTCGAAAATTCTGTACAGGTTCAAATCTTTGTACAGTGTTCTAGAACTCTTCACAATTATAATCAGAAAAAAAACATATCTTTGGTGCTGTTGCACATGATCCTCGAATTTTTGAAACGATTCTTCTAAAACTTTAGGTAACATTTGATTTTTCGAAAAAACGAACATCTCAAATTGTATAGTAAAAGAAATAATGCGACACAAAAATTGGATGAAAAATATTAGTAATATTTGCTTCATTTTGAGAAAGAAAGAAGAAGCAAGGTGTTACAGCCAATTATAAAAGACTAGAAAGTAAGACGTACGATTTGACAATTTGCATTAGTTACCTGGATGTAACAATACATATCGAATATTAGTTACCCCACAATACCAAAATTTTACGCAATAGCTCTGTTTTCATATAATAATCACCCGTTTCGTTCGGAGTATTGTTCTTTATTTGACAAATTAATTTTATTTCATAGAATATAACAACATGAAGGACCACTTGAAGCAGTACCTGAAGAAATTCGTGGAGAACAAGAAAGTAGTACGTGAGGAGGACATAAAGGAATTTTTTTCTGAAATGTCATCAAACAAGCGCCCAAAAGTCACTGTCCCCACATTCTGTCGTTAATTAATCCAAGGTACAACTATATTTTTTTATAAATCCATAAAATATTGTCGGCGCATCACTTGAATTATGACATCTCCGGGTTTAGCATGCCTACAAAAAGTAAAAGCTGTGAAAAATTGAACATTTCGAATCATATATAATCACGATGCATTTTGAAATATTATTGATAAATAAATGAGCTAAGTCATTTTGTAATAAGTATTGATTTTGAATTTTCATTCACCTTTACATCATACCTAAACCCTCCAGTTGTAAATGGGGTGAATGGATAATTGTAGCAAGAATTAGTGTGTCTCGGTGCGGATGGGTATGACGACAAGGGGTTCGTTGAATTTTGGTTTGTCTGTGTAGATCGACCATGTTCTTTTCACACAGTCGAATATGCCAGTTGCAATTGTCTTCACGTAATCGTCAGGTCCAAAGTCTTGATAGACTCGGTACTCGTTGTCAGTTTGATCGCTCAAAATGTCCATGACCTCTCGACGAGTTCTTGGAGGTGGGTGACGAGCAATGGTAGCATGTCTATGCTCACTGCTTGTTATTATTACTCCCTCTACCTCTGGTACTTTCAATCGAAGATATCTGGAATGGAATTATCAATCTTCATTCCCAATTTTGTTACGATTCAGTAATGGCGTAATATCTAAGGAAAGAACACTGATAGAGAATAACCACTTGATTGATTTCCAAGTGGAAATTCTTGAAATATTCAACGATTTACATGAAATCTCAATGAATTTCGTTGCTGACATAGCCAATTTTTGAAAAATTGACTGCGAATTCAATTTTCGATTTGATAGGGGTGAAGTGGAACGTTAGTGATCTTCTGCAATTTTCAATATCTTTGTTTATAAACATAGCTGTTGGGATTCTGATTCGATGACAATGTTCCGTCTTGCCCCTTACCGCGATGGAAATCTCGGAGAGTTAAGGCGACGTTTTTCGTGAACTCCCAATTTATTGAAGATTTAACTCAATACAATGTTTAATTCTCACTACGAATATAAAAATTCAAGTTACTATTGAAATTTTTCAATTCATTAAATAAAAAAAATAATTTTTACCAATTTTACAAGCAAAGAAAAAATGGGAAATTCATTAATGATTTGACTTCTATTCTTCAGACAATTCGGATTCAACCGTTCAATTTTACTGATTTTTCGACAGTGTCTATGAATCCAAACGTTAGATGCACATTATTGTGTGAGTAGCTCAGAAACGTTTAGGTTAATTAGGTTTGCAAAGAATTCATCAATCAATTCTTTTTTGTAGAAAATTTTATCATCTGCAAACAGGGCTACTTGAAGATTGCCTCTAAAATTGTTCATTTCTGAGATACGTGAAAGATAATCTCCAAATTCTTTGGATTCATTTCGTAATTTCCACACTTCGCCACAAATTGACAAATAAACGCAGAAAAAAGACGTTTCATTTGAGCGGGATAAGTTTCTAATTTTTAAGTAACTACCGAGAATTACCATAAGCATGGAGCAGTTAATTAGTAAAATCTACGGGCAAAACTTTGAAGATTTACGATTTTTTAAATGAGATATTGGTAACAAAATCACTTGATTTTAGAATTTCTTACTCGTGGAATTTTCAAGTGCCACTAGCAATTCTTTAAAAATTAGGGATAGATCCCTACAAATAACAACTTTTTTCTCAATGAAAATCAATACAAAATTACTTATTGCAGTGGGTAATATTCTCCCCAGGGCTAGCCGTGTAGATACTGAGCTGCGACTCATAGGAATCGACCTCCACAGGTCCCACCTCAGCATTATGAAACATCCTATCTCCCTCTTGATCCAAAAACGTCATATTAACTGAGAATCCCTCAGCGGCTCCATATCCCTTATTCCTCAGTGTTTTCTGGGCTTGCTCGAAGTTAGCGACTCCCAGAAGTGATCGAGCCAGGAAATATCTCGCTGTAAATTACCTTTTTCAGTGTTTTTCCTCAATAAAAAAAAAATTTGCCAATTCGTTCCAATGAATAATCTATTGGTCTCACGTGTTTTTCCGGATCTCAATGTCCTTGCACTCAGTGTATTAACACAAAAAACGAGTCCATGATTGTTAAAGCCCATCGTGTACCCAGGGAGGAATCCAGCGTAACAGAGGGAAGAGAATTTTTCTTCTCTAAATCCGGGTTCCGTCACGTGAACGCTCGCGATGTACCAGAAGTTCAAGGTCTCAGCGAGAGCGTCCTCGTTATGTCCCAAAATTTCCTGGAAAATCCGTCAATTACGCCGATCATCATCATCATCATTATAATCATCAATGAATAATCTGATGAGATTAGAGGGATAACGAGGAGATTATTTGAAATGCTCCTACCTGTCCGGGATAATTGCACACGATGGATGAACAGCCGACAGGTTGATTTGTACTGATACCTTCCCCATCGACGACATTGGGAAGGATATCGTCAAGGTGCATAAGGAAAAGCTGATAAACGAGACAATAAATATACTTGAATGATTGCCGAGTATCAGGGCCACCAGGTGATTACTTATTACGATATGGATTTAGGCCGTCCCGAGACGGTTCATGGGATTGAAGTAATCTATTGCGAGAGGGGCTAGAGGGAAAGGGGAACTTGGAATTACTGGTGATTTTACTTCCTCTAATTTATGAAGTTAATAACAAGTAATTTCAGTTATTGAAATGGTGCGTGGAGATGAGTCCAAGAGTTTCGTATTCACTCGGCGAATATTTCCCGATTTAAGGAGATCCAAGTAGTTTGGCTATTTTTTCTTCAGTGGAATGCTTTTATACTGTTCTAGTGGAACATCAGAGCTTTCATTTGAGCCCCATTTGACCTCAAGCTTCTGAAAATTGAACAGTAATTTTATTATTTAAACTGTACAGGTCTGAATTTGAATTTCGATATTGAACCGTTAGAAAACATTTTAAAAATGTGAAAAAAACATTAGAAACTTTACATTTGGAGGAATATTGATGGAATAATTAAAAATTTGCAATTTTTGAAAATTACGAGCATTTTCTATAAATAATTTATAAACCATGAATTTTCTCCCTTAAAAATCATTTGTTCGCAATTATAACAAATTTATTCATATTCAGAATTTTGCCAGAAATCGATTTCATGTCTAAAAAAAATAAGGTTTCCCCAAGTTTGATCAATTTAAATTAGTTATTTATAAACAACGAATGTTTAAAAATATAATAATTCTGTGCAAAATGTAATGGAATGAGGCTGAACATTCATGATTTTTTTCAAATTTTTCTCACGCAATTTAATTGACAAATTTTACAAATTTGATGATTGAATATGATCGAATGGTTTTACAGTGTGATCTGTACCAAATAGTAAAAGATACTTGGATATCCTTAATAGTGCTCGAGGACAATGTTGAGGTTTTTATTGGTAGTCCTAAATTGGATAAGGGGACGAGTGAGGGATTTTCACATCTAATAATTATTTTTGGTTCAAAGACGATATTAAGTATGATTACGTTTCATTCGAAACGTAGTGTAATTGAACTAGTTACATCTGTTTGTGTTGATTATCGCTGCTGACTGAAACATGGCCCAAAGGAATTTAAATAATTTGAGAACGTACGGTCGAGAACGTCTATTTCATTTCAATATTAATTATGGTTATCATTTATTTTCATTCTAAATAATCAAATTTTTTATATTTGATGGGAAAAATCAGGTTTTTATGATTATTCTGGAAGAAAAAACAAAGCCTCGATACGTCTCCCTCAACTAGATGGGCGTAGGGTTCATTTACCTCATCCAAAATCAAATCTTAAATGTGGAATGAAATTAGTAGATTCAAATCAGAGGTCAATATTTAAAAAATTTTTTTGAATATGTCAAAATTGGGAGTTTTTTTTGTAATTTACTATTGTTTTTATCAAAATTCCTGCTTCCTTAAACTCATAACAAATATTCATCAAAACTTTCCGGATGCGTTTTTAGGCCAGTTTATTACTAATTTTCATGATCTCTTTTCCATAACAATAAAATGGAAATTTTTCTACTTGTCATCCTGGAAGTCGATGGCAATTAATTGTAATCAACATGAAACACCTCATTGACTTTATCAACGCCGGGGAATGATAAAATATGTAATTCAAAAATTCTATACAGGTTATTTCGCGAAGAGATAGTTTGAGGGCCGTCAAATTTGCTACAAAAAATCCCTCTAAACCTAGTCTCCTCAAATATATTTATAAAATAATAAATGCATCCAGTGTCAATCCACCTTCTCATGCCAATTTATTACTGATTCCCATTACCTCATCGACGCAATAATAAAATACCAATTTTCCCGTTTTATAATTGAGGAAGTCAATGACAAGTGAATGTAATAAGCATAAAACATTTGCATGACTATTTATATATTAGAATGCTGAAGAGATATGTCCAAAGATTGCCTCCAGCCCATTCTGCGAATATCTCCGAAAGCGTCGCGTTCAGAGGAAAGTGTCAAAAGGCCTTTTCTAGTCTACAATTTTTTTTTCTAGTCTACAAGTTGTTCCCCAAAAAGGTCCGTCAATAAATTTCTCTATTCAGTTCAAAGATATTCACGAAAGGAACAGCAAATTCGTTAATTTTCTAATTACTTAATTTAGTAATTATCTATCTAAATACTTAATTTTCTAATTACTTAATTTTCGTTACCTTATAGAATGGAACATTTGATCCATCAGCTGTTCCCTCAATCTCCCGCACATACTCAGGAAATTGTGTCTTCACTGACGTTAAAGTCTCCTCATACACCTTCCTTCCTTCCTTAGTACTATACAGATCGAGATAAGACTTATGCAGTGGCCCATAACGATCGACAAAGTCATTGATCATTTTTGCAAAAGTCCGACCCTGAAGTGTACAATTTTTCATTATTCTTATCTCGCAATAAGTCCTTTCATTCGGAGACAATGGTACAAGGATCCGTAGCCATAAGTTGTCGCGAATAAATTATCCATTCTAATCGTATTCACGTGTATTATCCATTTTTTAAATCTCTTTTCTCGTACTGACAGAGATCATTTAAACGATGTAGAAGCTGTCATTGCGATTGTTTTATTATACACGTGGGAGAAACCACAGACAGTCGTCCTGCGGTTGACAGGCGCGGTTGAATATCGCTATACCGCAGAATTACATTCTATCATTTTATTTCCAACGAAATTCGATGCAAGTTCATGAAAAGATTTGTAACTGATCATCGCTCGAGAAGTTTCAGTCAAGCATGCACATCTGATCGATAGCGTGCAGATGATTATTTAATATGCGTTCATATCGGAACATCCTAGTTTGTCACATCTAGTATCCTAGATAGAGACATTCTTTGATGCACGGAGAGAAATGTTCAGTAAAAATTACGGAACTCACAATTCGCTCACCGATTACGGAATCGACTCAGACAATTTAAGTGACGGTATCGTAATTTTTCACAGGAGATTCGGATAAAAATTACGGACCACTCCGAAAGAATTCCGTGACAGTTTCGTAAAATTTCCTACAACATTTCGCTCCGGAATTACGCAAAAGATACGTAATTTTTATTGAATATTTCTCTCTGTGTGGGCTTTCAATCGGACGAATGTAAATTTGCTTCTTAGAGAGCATTGAAATATTACCTCACACGATTGAGGGGCAGGGGGGAGTTTGTGATGCTTTGGGATGAGGAGGGGGGTTCTTAGTTGCGAAGTCGCACTATTTTTTTTCGAATTTTTAATCAACGGAATCGCAAATGGCATTTTGTTTTCGTCGCCTTTTTTCATTCAAAAAAAGAGGTTTCAACACTTCGAAATTTCAGGGCAATTTCGCAATGCTGTGATAGCAACAATTTCATAATTTCAAAAAGTGTCGCATAAAGATTTAACGTTTAACCATATCATTATTTTTCTTATTATCTTTCAAATTCAATTTTATGAAGGAAAACAGAGAGGAGGCCGTGAATTTTGTGATGTAATTTATGACCGCTTATGATTAAGGGGGGCAGGTCAAAAATAAATTTTTTAATGTGTGACATAATGTTTGAATGGCTCCTCAAGCTCCTTCTCACACTATTGGGTTCATCATGAGCTTGAAATATGTGGATTCCCTTTAATATGACTGCAGAATCCATTACAGAAGGAAATTTTTCCATTCCCATAAAAATATTAGCATTTCAGAACTCTGGGGTACAAGAGAAATTTCCATTAGCATGAAGAAAATTTTCCATAAAAATCAGATGAAAATGTAATCGTCCATAATTTTTTAGTAAAATCGAGTATAATTCAGTAGCAAAGTGGTAAAACGGTACAAGTCAATTTTGACTACTGACCAGTTTTCAATAAATATCTCGGAATCTAAGGAAGATAGCAAAATTTTTTGTAAAGCCGATTGAGAGCTACAACAAATGTAATTACGAAAATTTCGCTATCTCTCTTAGATTCGGAAATATTCCTCAAAAACTCAACTGGGAGATGAGTCGACTTAAACCGTTTTACCATTTCGCTACTAAATTGTACCTGAATTAAGGTACATATTCTTTTATTTCAATAAAAAATTGGGTTTTGGAATTTGGAACTTCTCGATTCTTAAGGATGCATTGCCCCTTTTCAGCCAACTTCCATTTTCGTCTTCAGATTTTTAACAAACTATTGATCGGATTGACGCAAAAAATCTACTAATCCAATAACCAATGAAAAACAACAACTACTCTCTGAACAACCGTGAAAATTGGCTGAATGAGGGCAATTCTGAAGATAAGAACACTTGAATCAAGAACATTCTCTTTTTTGAATTGATAATTTTTCGTGTTCTAAAGGCAATCCACTTAGGTTTATAAATTCTTTGTTATTCAAAGTATATGACCTCACATTTCAACTCATTAAGCGTTGAATTATTGTGGAAATATTTTAGTTGAAGACCGCAGAGGTTTTCAATTTAAGAACTCTTCTCATTTAAAATAAGTAGGAATTTGCTACCAAATTTTAGGGATTTTTGTTGTGCAATTAAGAAACCAATTCACCATTCTCTTTAAAATCCCATTTCAAGTGATGAGTTTTTAAAAGAGTAACTCAGTTCTGGAAACTAGAAACTTTTTATATCGGTGAATGAATGCCATAAAAGTGGACCTTTTTTCATATGGGCATGTGGATTAAATATAGAATCATAAACTTGATGATAATGTAGGTCAAAACGATATATATATAAATTCGATAAGAATCGAAATGCGATGAGAATAACATAGCATGAGAAAAAATGCAATGACGAGCGAAGAAGAGGTGCAGACATTTAAGATCGCATTTCATTTACTCCGATTCCACCGCTACTTATTACAGGTGTGTGCTGCTTTTACTCATCTCATCATAAAAACTCGTCACATCGACAGTTCATCACTCGTCACAAGAACAATTTATTACGACATCATTCATTACAAGAACGATGCATTACGGTAGCATTTATTATTGATATACTTTCGAATTCCATATCCTATCTTCATTTTTTTCCAAATAATTCTCACACACCCTAAAATTTGTACGAAAAAATAGCCGAAGGAAAAATAGCCGATGGGTAGTAACACGCGTTGTGTGTGGGAACCAACAAGATGACCGGTCACTTTCGGTAATTTTTTCCGCTTACCCTGCGATTTAATTTCCAACTTTATTTGCAATATCATTTCCATCGAAATGACAACCGATACATTCATCCAATGTATCAATTTGCTCGGATGTTATGAATTAGATGATGTTTTTGTATATATTCAAGTTGTTATGTTTACGTTCGCGCATTTAAATTTGGGCTCACCATGGAGCACGGTAGAATGAGTACATTTCGACGGATCCGGAAAAATTGAAGTTCTAACATCGGAAATCTTGCTGTGAAATACAGGAATTTTTCTCGGATTCCCCGCAAGAATAAAAGAAATAATTTTTTTTTCTGAATGTTCTTTCATTTTTGTTAAGGAATAATTTCTGTATTCCTGAAAATACAGGAATTTTTCTATAACCCGCTGCAAAAACCCCGCTTCTAGCAGGCGAATTTATTACGGGTCCGTCAAAACGAACTCATTTTACCGACTAAGAACACTAATTTTTTCTATTTTTTTCTCTACATCGTGTTATAATTTGGAAATTTGTGCATTCGTTTACTCCATTTTCATGCAATCCCAATTAAGGGGGGACCCCGGTGAAATCTGAAAGTGTTCGGTGAATCTAGGGACTTACTGAGCGACTTTAGTTATATGATGGGAAAAATCCCGGACCCAATCGGTTTTGCCCCGTATTTCCACGGAAAACGTCGTTTTTCATGTTTCTACCTTTAAAACGTTCCTCGTTCTCCAATTTTGATCCGATTTAATTTTTTTTCCAAATGTTCGTGAGACTCCCAAGAACAAAGTTAAGCTTCCGTTTTACGATCCATTATATAGAGCATGAGAAAAACGCTAAAAACCGAAAAAAACGAAAATACCGAAAAAAAGCGTTTTCCCTTCTGATTGTCTTTGCGTTATGCCTGAAAAGTTTTTATTTTGAATAATTGACGATCAGAAGGAAAATCCGCTTTTTTTCATTTTTTTTCGATTTTTTCATGATCTATATAATGGATCGTAAAACGGAAGATTAACTTTGTTCTTTGGAGTCTCACGAACATTGAAAAAAAAATCAAATCGGATCAAAATGGGGGAACGAGGAACGTTTTAAAGGTAGAAACATGAAAAACGACGTTTTCCGTGGAAGTACGGGGCAAAACCGATTGGGTCCAGGGTTTTTCCCACTTTTTAACATATCCCATCATATAACTAAAGTCACTCAATAAGTCCCCAGATCCACCGAAGACTTTCAAATTTCATCGGGGTCTCCCCTTACGGATACATATTATGTGATGTTCACTTCATAAAACGGGCGCTATTGCCCCTCGTTGAATCCTCAAAGTATTTTATTTAAAAATTTATAGCGCGTTAAAAAGAGCTGCGATGAACTAAAATAGTAACAAAACTGAATAATGACGAAAATAAATATAACCAAATGAAATGTAATGAAATCAAATGTGATGAATCGCCCAATAATCGAATGGAATGATGAATTGTACTGTAATAAGCCGAGATGTTACTATTTACTCCCGAGTAAATCAAACAAACCGACTACAAATAAAGATTCACTGATAAGAGAGATCCAGGAGTTGATGCACTTCTATGAGACACGAGATGTGATTATAAAAAACCGTTTAAAACGCGATTATTTCTCCAATTGATTCGGTTTCGAGTCGATAGTTATTTTAGTTGATTGAAAATATGTATTTTTTCCTTTACTCACAATATCGTATCCAATTTCGTAGTGAGTTCCCCTGGTATGGATGATTGGTATTGCATCTCTTCTTCCTATATCCTTTTTCGTCTCGTGCTGATCCAGAGTCGACGAATTAACTACTCTTGCCATTACGAATAAATATACTCACTGAAATTCACGATAGAGTTGTTCTATGCTGGTTTTTCGATGCAATGTAGAACGTCTATCGTTATCAACGATCCAAATAAATAATGTGCAACATCCAAATGAAGACGTGGAAAATTAATGGCAGATAACACGCGCAATGTTTTACTTCCCCCCACTCTATTTTCGAGTTCAATACAGGAGTTGGAAAAGATTCCACTGTAAAAGAAGTAGATTTTTATGTGAATTCCGGCAGGTGGAGAACAGCGATCGGAATAAATCACTGAAATTTAAAATTCAAATAAGCGATGATTTTTCTATCTCAACAACTCCCTACTTGAACCATTCCCCCTGCCAATCAAGAGTTCTAATGACACTAATGCTCGATATGCTACTGCATACAAGACTTGAAGAGAGAGAAGTACAGCTCTCTGGTGTCGGTGTCCAACTGGATGGCTGGACACTAATCTTTCTTTAGCTACTTATCGACTTATACCCGGCGACACTCGGTCCCCAGTTGAGTGACGTTGTGAGTAAACCACCTGAGGATTTTATAGGAAAAAGTAAACCTTATTCATTGGCAAAGTACATTTGACCTTGATGTGTACTATGATGGTGTACACCTGGTATGGATGGTGTCTCGCCTTAATCGTCACGCGTATCACACAAATCATTGTCTCATCTCGTTAAATTATAATTACGTAATTTTTCGATATACGTTTATTCGAGCGCTAATTACCCTTGTGAGAGAGATATCTTTTTATTTGAGATATCTTGTTTTCTGCATTTCGAGGCATTTTATGGAAAAATTCTGGAGCAATTTAGGTGTGCGAAGCAATCGCAACATTCTAATACTAAAGGCCATCTTCCACTTAATTAGTGCCGATAAAAAAACCACTTCAATTGCAGTGATGAACAGGATTATTAATCAAATTGGGATTTTGAAATACATGCATGCACTCGGAATTGGTGTGATATCCATACCTCCTGAAATCCGTCGTTTATCTCGATTACTACCTTCATCAATGAAGCAGGGGGAAAAAAAATTTAATGCGACTGAGTGCGTGTTGACATCGCGTGGTCAGCTTCGTGTAATTATCTGTTGATTTTATGCTTCACATTCGTGCAATTATGCAGGTCCTCTACAGGGTAAATGTGGGGATAGTGCAAATGCTGATAAGTCATATAACTACATACGAATTCATGATTTGAAGTGGCATTGGCACGATTTTTTGACATGCACATAACTTAACAGATTCGATTTGACAGCTCCCAACCCCGTGGTATTCGATGCTTATGCAATCCCACGGAATTTCCCTCTCATTTTTTTCTAATGATCAATCTAGTCATCGATTTTTTAAGCTTCAGTGAACTCGATCCGTCCTTTCGTACCTTTCCTACGTTTTTCATAGTGAGAAATTGTAGAAATCTAGTACAATCGTTCAATAAGGCTTCAATCTTCCAAACTTATTAGATTATCAGATGAATTAGGGAAGGAGTGGAATTGTTTTGGCTTCAGAAAATCAGCTCAAAGTATTTCATAATATTATATCCCCTTCTCTCCAGTGGAATATTCAACATTTATTAGCACTTACTCGTTAAACGTAGTTAAAATAGTATTTTATGTATTTCTTCGATTCGATTGTTTATTCTTCTGTTGATAATATCCTTCCGCCCACTCGTCGTGCAATTCTGAATCATTGGTGAGATATTTCCAGGCACCAATCACCCCGTCCCACTGAAAAATTCATAACAATGATAATTGTGAATATAATTCAGTAGCAAAGTGGTAAAACGGTTTAAGTCGACTTATCTCCCAGTTGAGTTTTTGAGGAATATTTCTCAATCTAACGGAGATAGCGAAATGTTCGTGATTACATTTGTTGTAGCTCTCAATCGGCTCTACAAAAAAGGTTATAATAAAAATTTTGCTATCTCCCTTACATTCCGAGATATTCATTGAAAACTGGACGATAGTAAAAATTGACTTGAACCGTTCTACCACTTCGCTACTGAATTATGTGATGTTTTAATACTTGTTAAACAAGGTAAAAATTGGTTCTTACAGAGGATGATATGATTTCGTGTCGATATGGGTGCCAGCTGACATCTCTGACGCAACCCTTGTGTCCTTCCAATGTTCTAACTATACTCCCAGTTAGGAGATCATAAACTGGAGATAAAGAGTGATTATGTAGTCTCAGGATATAATGAGAAATACTTCGATTTTTTTTCGTTCATATCATATTAATTACTTATAACTTTTCCAGTTCCACAGCCACTGTAAATGTATCTCTGGCCTGTCGTAACAGGTGGAGAAAAATGACACCTCACCAATGTCTGCACAACCATATGGCCCCTGTATGTCATCACACTCGTATCACCTTCCAACTTCCCTTTGTTAGCAGTGTAAACTAATTTGGAAATGAAACAATGATTGTCAATTTGTGGTTTATAGTGCATTTTCTTGGGACAATGTGTCTGCTTGGGCATAATTACACTTCTTGGGAACACGTTGCCATCTGTAATCCCAGTTCTGATTGGCGACAGCTCGACGAGTGTTGTCGACAGCCTCGGCGCTCGAGAACACCCGCACATCCCAGAGTTTTATAGTTTGGTCCTTACTGTTTGTTATCAGATAGCGACCATCACCACGGGGATCTACGTAGGTTATTCCGTCCGTGTGACCCGCCAGGATTCCCACTGGGTGAGGATTCGCTTCGTTCAGGGTTCTTCTGTCCCAGACCTTTGAAATTTCATTACAAGAGAAAATTGAGATTGAACTGTCAGGGTTTTGCATTTAACGAGATGTGAGCTTATTTCTCACATTTGTTGAAGTTTAGATGTTATCGGGAATAATTGGCATTGAGCTGAGCACGAGAGTTGAACACGACTTCACTTTGGAGGGATCGTCTCGAAGAATTGAAGAACATCGAAATTTTTGGTCATGTGTCACTTCAGAAATACGCAGAATATATCGGTTCCTTTCGTGATGACTTCGAGTCGATTTGTCTCATTTCGGTTTAAAGTTTTTTGTTTTTTTTATGAGTGCAAGACCGAGGGTGAAATCGAGAACCGAGATTTAAAATGCAGAAACACGAAAAACTTAAGGATATCCAAGTAGTTTTTACAGTTTGGTACAGACCACACTATAGATTCAATTATTTTTAATCATCAAATTTGTCAATTAAATTGCATGAGAAATCATGAATATTCAGCATCATTCAAATTACATTTAGCACAGAATTAATATTGGTTTTTAACAGTCATTGTTTATAAATAAATAATTGAAATTGTTTAAACTATCAGAAACCTTATTTTTTTAGGCGTTAAATCGATTTCAGGTCAAATTCTGAACATGAATAAATTTGTTACGATTTCGAACAAATGATTTTTTTCAATGAAAAATTGATTGTTTAGAAATTACTTACAGAGAAATTATAATTTTAAAAAATAGTCGCCAAAAAAAAACCGACTAAAAATAGTCGTGGTCAAAAGTATTTTCTGACAAATGTGGTTATACAAAGCCACATTCGTCAGAAAATACTTTGTGGATCTTGTGCTGAAAATAACTATTTCAATTTATTTTATTAATCTTCCTCCAAAAGTGAACTTTCAATTTTTTTTTAGATTTTTAAAATGTTTTCTGACGGTTCAGTATCAGGATTCAAATTCAGATGAGCAAAGGTTGAATAATAAAATCATTGCAAAATGTCCGGAAACTTAGGGTCAAATGGGGCTCAAATGAAAGCTCTGATGTTCGACTATAAAAGTAGGAAAGCACTTCAATGAAGAAAAAACAGCCAAAGTACTTGGACATCCTTAAGACCGAGATGAGATAAATTGTCTCGTAGTGGAGCCTCGTTCAAGCCTTGTGCGCAGCCCTAAGCAGTAGGACTTCGTGAATTAATTATTGTCAATCCGTGTCCGCGAACCCCTGTCTAGGGCCGTTATGACAAACAATATTGTTCATATGAAAAGTGTTGCTTATATAATTACAGCAAACCCATATTCGCCAGGAAAGTTTTTGTCGGTTTAATGACAAAATGTACTATTTCTTGACAAAGTCGTACTGTTTCAAAACTTTAAATCTATGATTAGATGACTTATGACCTGATAATTTCCGAAATAATCACCTTACAGAGACCATCATCCCCCCCACTGTACAAAATCTGTGACGTGCTATCAGCAAAAGCAACTGTATTGGCATCCTCCGCATGACCCTCAATCTAAAAATCATTAGAATGAAAAATTTCGTTTTGAAAGAATTAAATTTAGTTTCTAAAGTTAATATTGACTTTGATGGCACACTGGTGACACTCTCTATCGTACACATAAAGACACCCATCGTTGGCAGCACCGAGGATCTCCCTGCCATCACTCGAGAATACTAGTGAAAATATACAGAACCTTCCCGTGTCCGAGGGGGCGAGGGGAAGAGCCTCTTGGATATTTGAGTCTCCGTAAATCGGACAAAGGTACACTGCGAAAAATTATTTCCAATATTGAGTTCATTTTCAGCTCTCCGATAAGAAAATCATTTATATGAGGATTCGTTCAACACCCATGTCATGATTCCAGGTCCCAAATCGGGATACGCAAATTCCTTCAAATAGTATATTGTGTTACAAGTGTGTAAAGTTATACTTTTCCATACGCATGTGTAACACTTACTATTTTTTGTAATATTTGCCGAGTTCAGTACTTGGGGCAGTAGGGAATGCGTAAAGTTCAAAATTGTGCGGAAATAGTATATTTCGATACGAGCTCGCCGAAGGCGAGTGCTACCCTCCAAGGGGTCAAAGAACACTTTTCTCACGAGTGTCGAGCTCTATTTTTCATTACACGAGAACGATCGCGCGCTTGAGCGCGCATGTTAAAGACAAATCGTGACACGAAAACCGAAAGCCGAGCGAAGTTGAACACATGCGGGTGGATCCGAATGTTCGACCAATGAAATTCGAGGAATGAGCGTTACGCTATAGCTTACGGCTTTTTTTTTTATGCTTATTTTATATCGCTTCGAGTCTGATGAGACTATATGGCGATTGATCAAGACTTTAAAAATGGTTAGATCTCACCATTCTACCCGGCCAGGAATCGAACCTGGAACAACCTATCCGTTGTGAGGCAACGGCCTTAACCACTACGCCAGGCCACCGGGCTGAATATAGCTTACGGCGTATGTTTCTTTTAGAACGAGACCGAACGCGCACTACAGCGCGCTGTAATTGTAACAATCATAATTGAAAATCTCAAAATGAAATTAATCATGAATTAAATTTGCCGCCTCAGACGACTGGAACCAATGAGGAATAAGCGTGACAGACTTGCGAGATATCGATAGTTATCGATTTTAAGTGTAAAATGTTCTTGTTTGTCATTCCGGTCGTAAGGCAGCGTTTCACGCCCCGCTTTGCTCCGCGTCCGTGAATCTCTGCCTACGGCCGTCATGACAAAATAGTATATTTTAGAATAGGATGTTCTTTTTAGAATAGGATAGGAACGAGATCGGTCGCGTGTGCTACGCAAGCGCCTACTCATCTCCTCACGTAGTGGCGCTTCGGTTTCAGTCTTACGCTTATGCTTATTCGAGATTTTCGAGATCGATTTCTTTCTCCTTTTTACGATAGGATGTGTGGAAAGTGGGATTTTGCGCTCGCGGAGCGTGCGTAAAATGTCACTTTACGCATAATTGGTGAAATAGCTATGTTGGTCACTAGGTCGAAAAAACTTTTCTGACGAGTGTGAGGGTTGCGAATCGAGGCGATGCAATCACGCGTGTAGAAGTTGTTTTCGGCCGAGTGACGGACATAATTTTTCTTCACAATGTCCGTAAATGGCGTTCGGGAATGGTTTCCGCGGATGCGTCACCATGTGGATTTTCTCGCTTCGCTCGATTAGATCGCGGTTTTCGGGGGTGCGTAAAGTTCAAAAGCTCGTGAACTTTACGCACTTGTGCACAAAAACAAGCACATTACCCTTACTACCGTTCCGAACAGTGAACTCGGCAGGTACCGCAAAAAATACGATGTGTTACACGTCCCTGTGAAAAAGTGGAACTTTACACACTAGTAACACAATATACTAATCTGACTCATGCGATTATAAAGTCACATTCGTCAGCTAATACTTTTATCGCCTGATGACATAATTACTATTTCGTCACTGTGGCGAAGAAAATTTTTCTGGCAAATATGTGGTTGCAAGATGAGTCGAAGGCGAGCTCTGTATGCATACACTGAGAAGAAAAATTTCTAATATCTGAAACATATTTTCTTGAGAGAAGTAAATTATTTTCAATGGCTTAAATCGCAGAATGTGTGCACTTCACGGAACTCGAATAAATTTTCATTCATCATTATCGTTCCGCGTTACGTCACNTATTATTATTATTATTATTATTATCATTACTCATATTTTTTTGTCAGATATATTGAAATATTTGAACAATTATTAAAAGTAACAANATTACTATTTCGTCACTGTGGCGAAGAAAATTTTTCTGGCAAATATGTGGTTGCAAGATGAGTCGAAGGCGAGCTCTGTATGCATACACTGAGAAGAAAAATTTCTAATATCTGAAACATATTTTCTTGAGAGAAGTAAATTATTTTCAATGGCTTAAATCGCAGAATGTGTGCACTTCACGGAACTCGAATAAATTTTCATTCATCATTATCGTTCCGCGTTACGTCACGAATATTTTACATATTGCAATATTGGAAGTGCATAACGAAAAAATCATGAAAACAATAAAGACTAGAAGATTGACGATTCTTGTACGCAATTTAAGTAAGNTTTGAGGAGATTCATTACATTCAAGTTCTCTTTGTTGTTGATATTGGAATTTGTTGAAGTTGATGAGTCTTCATTAATTCTTTTATTTTGATCATTGTTGAGTTGNTAAGCAATTGAAGAAAATTTACTTGTCTCAAGAAAATATGTTTCAGATATTTTTTTCTCAGTGTACTCGCCAGAAAATTTTTTTTCGACACAGTGACAAAGCATATTGTTTGCTACAAAATTCGTGCGCGACAAAGAATATTCTTCATCACTAAGTTGAAATATAATATTTTGCAGCTCATATTTCACTCGACAGAAAGATATTCCCAAGAACATTCTTTTATTTCTTTCAGATTGGAAGAAATGAAGGAGAGAAGGTTTGGCACTTGATCCTACTACAGTTAAGGGATGAAGCCACCAGGATTAGCAGAAGAAGGAGAGATGCGGTAGATTTTGTTATAACCAAGATGAGAGTTCTTGGTATTCGTTAGGGCCCTTGAAAGAGTGAAAACGATCACATTTCGAAGGATTTCAGGTCCCGCGCGGGGGCGAAATTCCTGTCTTTAGTGAATTGGGACCATTGGGACCGCTATTTACCGATGGTGGCGTGGTGATCGCCCTCATAACATGAACGACCGATGGTTTACCACAATAGAACAATTTTAATTTTTTTTGAGCACAAAATACAATAACGAATGCTTCTATAGGAACAACACAAACAACAAAATAGACTGTTTTCAAGAGAATATATTATAAAATAATATTGTTTAAACTCGAGAGCTGCAACAAAAGGGCCATAGTTTATAATAAATTGATATTGTTCATAAAAGTTTTTTGATACTAGTTTTTAAGATATGTATATATTGTAAATATTGACGTGTTTATTGAATAAAAACCTGGTAAAGCAAAAAAAAAAAAAAC